CAGCTTTGGTTTTCTTTTTTAATATTCCCCTGGCTATTCAGGGTCTTTTCTGATTCCACACAAATCTTAAAATAATTTGTTCCAACTCTCTGAAGAAAGTCCATGATATTTTGATGCGGATTGCATTAAATGTGTAAATTGCCCTGGGTAACATTGACATTTTCACAATATTAATTCTTCCAATCCATGAGCATGGAATATTTTTCCATCTCTTTGTGTCTTCCTCCATTTCTTTCAGAAGTGTTCTATAGTTTTTAGGGTATAGATCCTTTACCTCTTTGGTTAGGTTTATTCCTAGGTATCTTATGCTTTTGGGTGCAATTTTAAGTGGGACTCCTTAATTTCTCTTTCTTCCGACTCATTGTTAGTGTATAGAAATGCCACTGACTTCTGGGCATTGATTTTGTATCCTGCCACACTGCCAAATTGCTGTATGAGTTCTAGCAATCTTGGGGTGGAGTGTTTTCAGTTTTCTATGTAGAGTATCATGTCATCTGTGAAGAGGGAGAGTTTGACTTCTTCTTTGCCAGTTTGAATGCCTTTAATGTCTTTTTGTTGTCTGATTGCTGAGGCTAGGACTTCTAGTACTATGTTGAATAGCAGTGGTGAGAGTGGACATCCCGGTCTTGTTCCTGATCTTAGGGGAAAGGCTCCCAGTGCTTCCCCTTTGAGAACGATATTTGCTGTGGGCTCTTTGTAGATGGCTTTTAAGATGTCGAGGAAAGTTCCCTCTATCCCTACACTCTGAAGAGTTTTGATCAGGAATGGATGCTGTATTTTGTCAAATGCTTTCTCTGCATCTAATGAGAGGATCATATGGTTCTTGGTTTTTCTCTTGCTGATATGATGAATCACATTGATTGTTTTATGAGTGTTGAACCAGCCTTGTGTCCCGGGGATAAATCTTACTTGGTCATGGTGAATAATTTTTTTAATGTGTTGTTGGATCCTATTGGCTAGTATCTTGTTGAGAATTTTTGCATCCATGTTCATCAGGGATATTGGTCTGTAATTCTCCTTTTTGGTGGGGTCTTTGTCTGGTTTTGGAATTAAGGTGATGCTGGCCTCATAGAATGAATTTGGAAGTACTCCATCTCTTTCTATCTTTCCAAACAGCTTTAGTAGAATAGGTATGATGTCTTCTTTAAACGTTTGATAGAATTTCCCTGGGAAGCCATCTGGCCCTGGACTCTTGTGTGTTGGGAGGTTTTTGATGACTGCTTCAATTTCCTCCCTGGTTATTGTCCTGTTCAGGTTTTCTATTTCTTCCTGTTCCAGTTTTGGTAGTTTGTGGCTTTCCAGGAATGCGTCCATTTCTTCTAGATTGCCTAATTTATTGGCGTAGAGCTGTTCATAATATGTTTTTAAAATCGTTTGTATTTCCTTGGTGTTGGTAGTGATCTCTCCTTTCTCATTCATGATTTTATTAATTTGAGTCTTCTCTCTCTTCTTTTTAATAAGGTTGGCTAATGGTTTATCTATCTTATTAATTCTTTCAAAGAACCAACTCCTGGTTCTATTGATCTGTTCCACAGTTCTTCTGGTCTCAATTTCGTTGAGTTCTGCTCGAATTTTAATTAACTCTCTTCTTCTGCTGGGGTCGGGTCGATTTGCTGTTTTTTCTCTAGCTCCTTTATGTGTAAGGTTAGCTTTTGTATTTGAGTTCTTTCCAGTTTTTGAATGGATGCTTGTATTGCGATGTATTTCCCCCTCAGGACTGCTTTTGCTGCATCCCAAAGATTTTGAACAGTTGTATCTTCATTCTCATTAGTTTCCATGAATCTTTTTAATTCTTCCTTAATTTCCTGGTTGACCCTTTTATCTTTTAGCAGGATGGTCCTTAACCTCCATGTGTTTGAGGTCCTTCCAAACTTCTTGTGATTGAGTTCTAATTTCAAGGCGTTATGGTCTGAGAATATGCAGGGGACGATCCCAATCTTTTGATATCGGTTCAGACCCGATTTGTGACCCAGTATGTGGTCTATTCTGGAGAAAGTTCCATGTGCACTTGAGAAGAATGTGTATTCAGTTGAGTTTGGATGTAAAGTTCTGTAGATATCTGTGAAATCTATCTGGTCCAGTGTATCATTTAAAGCTCTCGTTTCTTTGGAGATGTTGTGCTTAGAAGACCTATCGAGGGTAGAAAGAGCTAGATTGAAGTCACCAAGTATAAGTGTCTTATTATCTAAGTATTTCTTCACTTTGGTTAATAATTGGTTTAAGTATTTGGCTGCTCCCACATTCGGGGCATATATATTGAGGATTGTTAAGTCCTCTTGTTGGATAGATCCTTTAAGTATGATATAGTGTCCCTCTTCATCTCTCACTACAGTCTTCGGGGTAAATTTTAGTTTATCTGATATAAGCATGGCTACCCCTGCTTTCTTTTGAGGACCATTTGAATGGTAAATGGTTCTCCAACCTTTTATTTTCAGGTTGTAGGTGTCCTTCTGTCTAAAATGAGTCTCTTGTAGACAGCAAATAGATGGGTCCTGCTTTTTTATCCAGTCTGAAACCCTGCGCCTTTTGATGGGGTCATTAAGCCCGTTCACGTTCAGAGTTACTATTGACAGATATGAGTTTCGTGTCATCATGATATCTATTTAGTCCTTGTTTTTGTGGATTGTTCCACTGAACTTCTTCTTAAAGGGGAATTTTAAGAGTCCCCCTTAAAATTTCTTGCAGAGCTGGTTTGGAGGTCACATATTCTTTCAGTTCCTGCCTGTCTTGGAAGCTCTTTATCTCCCCTTCCATTTTGAATGAGAGCCTTGCTGGATAAAGTATTCTTGGTTGCATGTTCTTCTCATTTAGGACCCTGAATATATCCTGCCAGCCCTTTCTGGCCTGCCACGTCTCTGTGGAGAGGTCTGCTGTTACCCTAATATTCCTCCCCATGAAAGTCAGGGACTTCTTGTCTCTTGCTGCTTTAAGGATCTTCTCTTTATCTTTGGAATTTGCAAGCTTCACTATTAGATGTCGAGGTGTTGAACGGTTTTTATTGATTTTAGGGGGGGGGGATCTCTCTATTTCCTGGATCCGAATGCCTGTTTCTCTTCCCAGATTGGGAAAGTTTTCAGCTAGGATTTGTTCAAATTACATATTCTGGCCCTCTGGCCCTCTCAGCGCCCTCGGGAACCCCAATTAAACGTAGGTTTTTCTTCCTTAGGCTGTCTTCTATTTCCCTTAATCTGTCTTCAAGGTATTTTAATTGTCTGTCTCTTTTTTCCTCAGTTTCCCTCTTTGCCATTAACTTGTCTTCTATGTCACTCACTCGTTCTTCCACCTCGTTAACCCTCGTTGTTAGGACTTCTAGTTTGGATTGCATCTCATTCAATTGATTTTTAATTTCTGCCTGATTGGATCTAAATTCTGCAGTCATGAAGTCTCGTGAGTCCTTAATGCTTTTTTCTAGAGCCACCAGTAGCTGTATAATAGTGCTTCTGAATTGGCTTTCTGACATTGAAGTGTAATCCAGATTTTGTAACTCTGTGGAAGAGAAGACTGTTTCTGATTCTTTCTTTTGAGGTGAGGTTTTCCTTCTAGTCATTTTGCTCAGTGCAGAGTGGCCAAAAACAAGTTGTATTGGGAAAAGGAGAGAAAGAGAGAGAAGGAAAGAAAAGAGAAAGAGAAAAAAGAAAAAGAAGGAAAAAAAGGGAAAAAAAGAAAAAGAGAAAGAAAAAGAAAGGTGAAAAAAAAAGGGGGGTGGGGGAAGCAATCAGAAATCAAATAGAAAAGAAAAAAAAAACAAAAAAACACGGGGGAGTATCTTCTGATTCCGTGTACTTTAAGTCCCTTGACTTCCCCTGGAACTGGTCCGTCTAGCTGGTCTTCTGGGGGAGGGGCCTGCTGTGCTGATTTTCAGGTGTTAGCACTTGGGGGAGCTGCTCTGCCCCTGCCTGCTGCAGGGCTCAGCGGGGGTTGTTTACCCCGTGAGGCCCCAGGAGGAACAGCCGCAGTGGCTATGGCAGCTCTGGAAGCCTGGATTCAGCCTCCGCAGGAACTACGGGGCTCTCCGTCTGCAGGGCCTGGAGGCTCCGGGGCGGGGCCGCTGATCTGCTCAGCTCGGGGCAGGAGCGTCCTCGCTGTCCTGGGCCCTCCCGGCCTCTGCCTGTCCCGGGGGAGGCCGGATCCTGGGCTGTGTCCCGGCGCCCTGTGCTCCGGGGCCTGCGCTGTGGGATTCGCGCTCCCGCCCCGCAGCCCCCTCCGCGGAGCCGCCGCCCGAGCCCCTCCGAGCTGCTCCGGGCCCCGCCGTGCGCGCTGCAGCCCTTAGGGAGCTCGGCGCACTCTCCCGGGGCGCAGGTGTCTGTTAGTGTCCCCGGGAGCCCGAGGGCATCCCCGCCCTCCTGGGTCCTCCTCTACCTCCCTGCGAGCCCCTTTCCGCCCGGGAAGGTTGGTGCAGCTCCTCCTCCTCCGGGACGGGACGGGGCTCTCCTGTCCTGGGACCCTTGCCCCGGCCTCAGCCCGGCTCCTTGCGGGGCCCCTCCCCCTCGGAGACCTTTTGTTTCTTTATTTCGTTTTCCCCGTCTTCCTACCTGATAGAAGCCTGAACTCTTCTCACTGTAGCGTTCCAGCTGTTCTCTCTTTAAATCTCAGGCCTAATTCGTAGATTTTCAGGATGATTTGAAGGTTATCTAGGTAATTTGGTGGGGACAGGTGACTTGGGGACCCTACTCTTCCGCCGTCTTGCCCCCCCTCCTCCTTTCTTTAACTATACAAAAGTAGACAGTCTAATGGCAAACTCATGATGGTCCTGAGGATATATTCATTTCTAGTGTAGGCCAATTCTCCAGATAGTTTGACATACTTTTCAGGCCAAGGTTGCAGAGTCCGATTCTCCACAAAGATTAGTCAACTTTAGGAAGGGAAAACTTTAGAAATGTCTAAGGACTGTATGCACACGTGGTCACCATATAGTCTGTGTTTATAACACAGAAATAGAAAAGACCCTACTGTCTTGCTAGAAACATCAATTCCATGTGTGCACCTTAAAGAGGGCAACACTTACCATGCTATCCAAGTACCTAATGTATCATCATTCTTTCCCCTGTCTCTTGATGCCTGTATATATATTTATTTTTGTGTTTTACTGCAGGCCTGTGAGGTAGTGGGCAGGGACTATTGCTATTTATCGTGTAGTTGAACAGTAATGGGGGACAAGGAAAGACCAAATGTGACAAGGAAAGACCAAATATGACCTTGATTCTAAGAGTGTCATCATTACTGCATTACCATAGATTTGACCAGAGCTGTTAGCAAGTGCCAAGGTAGATGAATTAAATTTTTGGTTCTAGTTCTCACTTCTTTCTCCATTTACCGTTTTAGCAATAGAATTGGATATCTGTGATTTAGCTGCATAATTTCAAAATTAATCTATTTCTTGAGTCGATCTATTGCATTTTCAGAATTCCAAACTCCTTTTGTCTGTTGCACCTACTCCAAAAGTTAGATTTATCAAAAGAGGCATGTAGCAAGAGCTGGTTACCATGTCATTATAGCCTTGGATGGTGGGATAGACATCACAAATATTAACGAAAGGATGCTTAGGATGTGGTGGAAAGAGACACAAATGCCGAAATCCTTCCTCCATGACTTGTAAAAGGCATTAAGAAAGAGGAGACAGTGATGGTTAAGAATGATTTGGTCGCCTCACCGAGCCTTTTTGGATTCCTCATAAAGTAAACATTTGCTTACTATTGTGAACTTCTATACCTATTTTCAAATGTTTCATATGATTTTTATTTTGGAAACTGCCTTCATTAAGAGGGTGGTGAGGAAGTCATCAAAAGCAGGATGTTTGCTTTGGTAAACATTATGTATGTGGCAGTGTATATTTTGAAGTTTATTATTATTACTAGTAGTCATTTTAGTATTAGTATTTTGCATGGAGTCCTCAGGTGGGTGGTGTGTGGTGAAAACAAAGTATTTCTAATATATGGGGCTTTTAACTCCTACAGTAGCTTCCTTAAATTTTGATTTCATGAAGTGTTTTTCAGTTTGACAAGGCCTTAATCAGTTATGCCTATGATGGTTCCTGGGCAATCATAATGAAAGACACCAATCACAGCTTCAGTTACTCATGTGTGGATAAAACTAGAACTTTCCCCACCTTGAAAACAGATGCTACCACAAGAACAGATTCGCTGTCCAAGTTAACTGTGTCCCCAGAATTTAATTTCTCCTTTAGGATTCTGCATGATTTTATACTGGCTGATTTTCTGAAGATGCCTTCCATGAGTGGCCCTTTCTGATTGATAAAGGAAAGCATATCCTGTAGGAAAAAAAGAGGAGTATATGGCATTTCATATCGCAAGCCCAGAGCAAAAGCTTGCTTCCTTTTTGAAAGAGCTAGGCTATGGGATGGTATATGGTTTTAGAGCTGACTAAAGTCAATTTAGATTCTTTAGTCAATGTCTCTCTATAGTTTCTACCCAAACGTCCACCTTACGGTCATACACGGAAACATTTTAATCACTTATTTTAATCAGATTATTTCATTGAATTTACCCTTTTAAATCAAACTTCCGTGTTTCAAGTCCTTTGTGGAATCCTCGTCTGTCTCCCACTTTACCAGTCTTTTCTTATTCCCTTACATAGATGCTCTTCCACAAGTATGGAAATCTTTTTGCCATACTCATTTCCCATTTGTTGATTCCTCTTTAAGTGATTGTATCCTGCATTCCTACTATCTCTATTTCCCTTCCTCTTTTTTTTTTTTTTAAAAAAAGCTCAAATGCTCTCTTCTTATTCTCTGATTGCATTCCCTTCATGAGTCTTTCACTGTCCTTTGCTCTATCTTCATGTCCTCTCCCTGCAGTGTAGAAAGATAACAAGGGCTGGAGTCAGATAGATCAAGGGATCAGAAACCTATTATGCTTCTGATCATTTGTGTGACCTGGGGCACATGTGAACTGTACTGAAACCTTTCTAATTCGTTTGTAAAGTGTGGAGGATGATAGTGCTAGCTACCCCCTAAAATTGCTGTGATGCAAAGACTGGGGTAGTAGCTAGCATGTAACTAACGTGGTAAATTTCTTCACACCTAGGGTAACATTCCCAAATCTAGTGCAGGGCTTGCAGAGGTACTGGATACTCAGCAAATTTCCACACTGACAATTCAATACACCGATTTGAGATAACACAGGAAAACTCTGTGGCTGTCATTTAACATACTCTGTTAGGATTACTGGATTCATATTTGCTGCAGGATGAGTCTTTATGCTTAGGTAGGATGTGTTTAGTTGTTAGATTAAGTAGACTCAGTTGAAGGAGACCTGAGACTACTGCGAGTTCAGGAAGACAATGGCAGAATGTGAAGATGATTCATGCACACAGAGTCCATTTTGACTGATCTGAACAGGTCTACATGGGTCTCTGTGGAAACAAGTGGAATGGACAAAACGTCGTCCTGTTGTATTGGCCTCATGACTCTGCAGTGGGTAAATCAAATGACACTACCAAAGCTTCTCAGCCACAGCCCGGGGCTGTCTAATGATTTCTCCATTTGGGGGTAGCTTTGCATGAGAACACTTGGCCTCTCCAAGGTCCCCCTCCTCAGGAAGGCAATAAAACACCAGACTGAGACCTACCAGAATTGGGAAGGGCAAGTTGTCCTTATCACAGATATCCATGAGGGAAACTCCAAAGAGCTGTCCTGGTTTTGCAGATGGTGCAGCTGTGCACTGGTTGTTCTGGCAAGTGCCAGCGCACTGGCAAAAGGCCGAGTTTCTGAAAGCACTGATTTGCATGATCTTCTGGCCTGAATCTCAGGAACAAGGGAGATTGGTGTGTTTTAATTCACTTAGCCTTATTTTCACCATTGCCATTATATACAGCATGTTCATTGTAGTGGCTAGAGGAGGGGAAACTGAGTCATTTGCTGTGTAGAACTCTCCACGTTCTGATGTTGTCTACCAGCATCCTCATGGCATTGATGAGTTCTTGCCCATATCCTTCAGACTGATGGTTAAACCTGGGGACTCGGTCAGACTCAAGGTCAGTATTTCCTGTGCCATCAGTTACTGTCAGTTACACTGCATCAGGAGGCACTGAACCTGTAGATGTTTGTTTTCTACTGGTATGATCAGTGGGTTCAGGGGTCAGATCTGATTTTCAAAACTAGAAGGATTTGGTCTTGAAATCAAGCTGAGTTTGGTAATCCTCTGCTCTCACAGCCAGTCTCCCCTGTGCCTCAGATTTCCTCTTTGGCTTTCTGAGTGCTCAAGTTTCTACCATCCAAAAGATCTGCCTCTCAGGACACAATCTGCCTGACCCTACTTCTCTGGTTCCTCTGCTCTGGGCCATCTTCAAGGATGACTTCTGCAGTCAGTGTCCTTGGGAAGTTGTCATTACATGCTGGCTATGTGGTGCCTGTGTTTTCTTGTCATACCCCACCAACCCACCCAGAGATGATGTTTTCAGTTCAATATGTTTAACATTTACTGAAAAGGGCCTAAACCACAATGAAGCGTGGAAACACACTTCCTCACACACACACTCAAACATACATGTATATATACACCTACACACAAGTACAAGGCTTGAAAGAAAACATAGAGAAAAACAAGGAGAGGTTATGAATGCATTTATTTACCCCCAGTTTCCAGAGATGATTTTTAATTACTCAACATTCCCTACCAAAGGAAGACCTTTCCAAAGAAAAGGTGATCAGCAGTGAAAAGCTGAGTTCAAAGTTTCTAGTGCTCAGCTGTGAATGTTGTCGTTTGAAGATACCTTAACTTTGCTTAAATAACTGAGTTCTTTAAGGGTCAACAGATGAGCCAAGCTGTCGAAGGATAAACAGATGAGCAACATTTCGCCAAATAACTTTAAACACCTGGTCACTTGGCTTTTCTGCGACGTAGTGAGTGCATCACCACACCTCTACTCATGTGGGTGCTAGCACTGCACCACAAGCATCCTGGTTCTGCCACTTAGGAAGCTCAACATTTTAAGGCTTCGGTTTGCTCAACTTTAATATACATGATGCTGCCTACAACTCATTAAACTATATAATATACTACTCAGCACAAGGCATGGCTCAGGGCAGCCTTGAAAGTGCTCTGGAGATATAGAGAAAGAAAGGAGTAATGGTCTACTTAAAAGATTTAAAACAAGCAAACAATCTTCATAGAAATGAGTTGGTTCTTGGTGGCAGCATTGATTTGAGTTTTTTTAAGCTTGATTTTGGGTAGTTTTTGCATTCTTGCCTATACTGTTCCTCCTCATCAATGACAATAAGCTCACCCAGAAAGAATAAACTCTGTCATGAATTGTGTTTAAGTGTGGAGACATGAGTCAAGAGAAGGCACTTGAAGAAAGGCAAGTGGCTCACCTCTCCCTTGCTTGTTCTGGGCTGGGTGCCTGGGCTTCAGGATGAACTGGCTTTGCATCTCTGTGATCCTCTGCTCCAGAAGGAGGGACTCCTGAGTTGTGGAAGGAGAGATGGAGTCCTCTGGTTCCTTTGGCAGCAGTTTAGTAGATGGAAGATGGCTCATTTTAATTCCATAGGGATATTCATGTCCTGTAGGGAAAAAAATCTGAATATTCAGGCTGATGGTGATGGCTATCATCAAACCTACCTTACCATTAGTGTAAGCATCACCCTGGTATATATTGCTATTTTTCTGTGACTTCTAGATAAAGAAGACTGTGCCTCCTGAGTGAGCATGATATACACCCTTGACGGGAACACCCTACAGAAAGCATGTGCCCAAGTGAAAGATTTTTTTAAATTTTTTTTTTTATTTATGATAGTCACATAGAGAGAGAGAGAGAGAGGCAGAGACACAGGCTGAGGGATAAGCAGGCTCCATGCACCGGGAACCCGACGCAGGACTCGATCCCGAGTCTCCAGGATCGCGCCCTGGGCCAAAGGCAGGCGCCAAACCACTGCGCCACCCAGGGATCCCTAAGAAGAGAAATAATTTAAAGCATGTTACTTTGCTTGGAATACATATATTCATGAGTGCATTAAACAATGCTGACTTTTGCTATGTTTCTGTCTGAGAATAGTTAAGGTTTTCTAGTTTATGCCTTGATACTAACTAGATCTATACATCTTAGGCAAATTACTTGACCCCATCGAGCCTTACATTCATTCTTTGAAATGCTTATCTGCACACAAACTTATCAGAGTGAATATATTAATAAGCATTGGTGGTTAATATTATTTTTTTATTTTTTATTTTTTTTTTGGTTAATATTTTTTTAATATTTGGAGTATATATATTAAGAATTGCTATCTTCACTATTCTCTCCGACATAATGTCAGTTGAACAGATTTTTTTTTTCATTTCCTTTTGTCAATTCTAGAGCCAGAGCTACTCTAGAGTAGTGGGATGGGTTGCCCTGATGCTTTATGGTTCCCTCCCACTGCTGCCCTCCCTCCAAGGGGTGTCCTGCCAGGCAATGATCAGAAGGAAGGCTGCACAGAGTTGGAAACCCAGAAGCAAACTGTAAAACGATGGTTAGAGAATAGAAAACCACTCCCAGAGCCATCCAGAATTGCCTGCCAAGTGATTTGTTTTGCTCTTTTATGCTTTAAATTGTTTTTCCTTTCTAGAGAATTCTCAAAGACCCTATGCTATGATATGGATTTCATTTTTTAAGAATAGAATGAAAATTCTCATTCTGTCATTACTGATTTATCATTAAATGTACCTAAGGGAGCTTTTTTTTAAATTTTTTAAATTTTTATTTATTTATGATAGTCACACAGAGAGAGAGAGAGAGGCAGAGACAGAGGAGGCAGAGGGAGAAACAGGCACCATGCACCAGGAGCCCGATGTGGGATTCGATCCCGGGTCTCCAGGATCATGCCCTGGGCCAAAGGCAGGCACCAAACCGCTGCGCCACCCAGGGATCCCCCCTAAGGGAGCTTTTGCTGTTCTTTTCATCTGTCATAAATGCAATGTTCACAAGAATCACAGAGACTTCCCTCTATTAAGGACAAAGAAGCTTCTATGACAGCAATACAACCAAACCAAGATAACCAGGAGTTAATCCACAATTGAGAATTGAGAGTATGTTTTAAAAAAATGCATTTTGAATGCTGCTAATAGATCATCATGGACAACAGGCTCTTTGGATTCCTTAGAGCTGGTTTCATGTGTGAAGCTATTCAAAGTCTAAAAAGTTATCATCTACATCATTTTATCTAAATTAATGCACTTTATTAAATATATAAGTATTTAGAGCTTTTTTTCCTTTTTACTGCTAACCAACTTTTGTTTTTTAGATTTTATTTATTTATTCATGAGAGAAACAGAGAGAGAAAGAGGCAGAGACACACAGGCCGAGGGAGAAGCAGGCTCCATTGCAGGGAGCCCGATGTGGGAGTCAATCCCAGCTCTCCAGGATCAAGCCCTGGGCTGAAGGCAGCACTAAACCACTGAGCCACCAGGGTTGCTCCTGACAAACTTTTACAAAGATGTCAACATTAATTCAAAACAGGAAGTGGTACTGGGGGATTTTGTTCTCAGTGATGCGCTTTGTGACTCTATAGTCTAAGACTGGGAATATATATTTTGCAGAAAGAAAATTGGTTGTTTTTAAAAAAAGAGAAATTGGTTGTTTAGATTTCCAGATTATTTGAAAAAGAGTTAAAGCTTCACAGATTTGTTAAAAGGATAAAAAAAATTCATGTAAGAAGGAATGCTTTAAGATTTCTAGAAGAGATTATTGTCACCATTACCATCCATTACTATACTTCAAGGTCTGCTACAGATCCTGTTTCCTTTTTCTTTTTTAAAAATCCTTCCATTACTGGAAACACTAAACAATTTTGCTAATCCAAAGGTTTTTTTCAGAGAACTTGTGCTAACAGCTATTTTAGAAGAGGTGCAATCTGTTTATCAATAACCTTAAGAACAGTGATGGAAAAAAACCTGAAAAACAACAAAGTGCAGGTGATTTCATCAGTGAAGACTAGAGGAGTTTAAATGTGATTATCTCATTTCTTTATGATGCAGAGAAAACTGGGCACAGGGCAGGGGTGTTAAATACATATCTATACCTGGATTTAGAGACATAACTGGATTTTAGAGGATTCTCACAAAATAGAGGCTTCTTAGTAGCTAGGAACTAGAATTCAAGATTGAAATATGAAAAATAAATGTATGGGAAAAATTCCAATCCATTTCGCTGTCAGACCTAAGTGAGTAAATAAGTAAGTAAGTAATAAATAATCACACTTTTTCAAGACAGCTCTGTTTGTCAGGTAAAAAGAAGTAGAAACAAAAATTTACATTTCTCTCCCTCACTAGATCATAGCTACTGAATGAAAAGATGTTATCAGTGCCTGGGAAACAGTACCTGGTAATGATTTAATAAACATGTGAGTGAATATTGCATGTGATTTTCACTTTTAAGGATTTTGAAGCTTAAGAAAGAACAACTATTACTTTGAAACTTAAGAGTTACAATTTTGAACCTAATCAATCCCATCTTATATTTTCCCTGACACTTACCAATTAGTGGAAGTTCTTCCTTGCCAGAACTTGCCCACAGCTGGTAGTCTTTCTCAGAGCCCTTGAAAACAAAAAGAACTAGGTGTCATAACAAATCTTTCACAGTACTTGAAGAACACATTTCCTTAGCATATCTGTGTTTCCAAAAAGAAAGAATTGGGGCTAGTATAAATGTTATTTGGTCCATGGAGGTAGCTATAGTACTTGTTAACTAGTTCCCCTCACAGCTTCCAATAGACTGTCCCAGATTCTTGTCATTTTTGATAAGGACCGGAAAACCACAGTACAGTCAGCCCCTCACTTTGTGGGTGGCCCATGGCATAAGAAATGAGATTTGTGTCCCTTTACCAAGGGGGAAAAGTCTCATCTCAGAGTCCTCTCTTCTGCTGTCTCCAGACTCCTTGGATAACGTTGGCTTTTGTCTCCAAATGTCCCTGCCCAGACATGCATATTGTCCAGAGAGCCATATACTCTGCTATGACTATTCCTGAGCAAAGTAAGTTGAGAGGCATCAATAGCTCAGCAGCCCTGAGCAAAAGGAGACAAATGCCCAAGAGACCTTGAGGAGATAGTGGACGGAAGTCAGCCACTGGCTTTAGTGCAGGCAAGCCCCACTTTAGGGAGAGAAAGGATGAGGACTCTAGACAACAGGTCAGATGCAGAAAATGATTACTCCCAGCAGAATTATTGCCCAGTAATACTGGAAATCCCACTTGAAACAAACAATTCTAAATTATAAAGATTGCTGAACTATTTTAAAGAGTCTTCCAGGAGACTAAAACAAAAAATGTTTGAAATGGAATTATTGGTAATAGTTACCATGTTTGCCCTTGACTCTTGATTAAAAATCATGGCCTTCACCTTATGAAGGAATGTCATAGGTATGCGTACAGACACACACACACACACACACACACACACACACACAGAGAGCTAAATCTGCTCAAAATTGTGCTGCAAATAAGAAGTAAGAGCTAATAAGGTAGAGTAGGGTTTGGAAATGCTATGCTGGAATCCCTTAAATAAGGTATACATAAAGCCAAATAACCCCAGTTCTTCATTAAAATAGAAATTATTTGCCTAGTGACATTGATCACTTTAAGCAAAGAAAATCACAAACATGAAATAAAATGAGTTATATCATTACTCAATCTCCCCAACTTCATCCCTCAAACCACTCACTCTCTTTTCCAGGATTCAATTCTTACTTAGGGTTTATATATCATATGGGTTAGAAAAGTCTGTAGACATGTGCTTTAGTTAGTACATATAAATTCAATTTTATTTTGGATGTATTATTAAATGTTTGTGCAGAAATCATTGATTTATCCTGCCAAATTCTAGTTGCTCTGAAATTTTAAAGGGCTTTATTATACCAGTGGATCAGATAGAATTTACAAACAATCTTATGATTATGTCATGTCATATTTACAGAGGATTTTAGATAAGAAGCTGTGCTTTCCAAGTGGTCCCTTTGGTTCTCTCCATCTATCACTGTCCCTCTTTTTTCCCTTATAAAACCTCATCCTCAAATATATTTCTCTTTCATAAAAAGATATGAGCAACTCACACGAGCACCATCAAAACGTAAAGAAGAACAGACAGCTAAAACCAAAACAAGATGAGAGTGATATGTACAAATGCCTCAGATCCATGGTCTTATTCAGAACTTGTCTTCGTCTTTACCAGTTCATAAAGGGTATGAGCTGCCTCATCCTCAGGATCTGCATCAAAAGGAGGTAGCTTGTAGCCATGTAGTCTTTATGTCAAAATGTACAACAGAACATGTAATTTAGGATTCATTAAACAGATTGAAGGCTTCCTTGTGTGATAACTAGGGTCAATAGGGATGGGGAAGTATCAGAATTGAAGACACAGAAAGAAGAGTCCAACAGAGGAGGGAATATTTAGAAATTTAGAAACATTTTTATTGTCTGTATTTAAAATATATACAATAAACTGCATGTTGTTATTAGCACTCTAAAATTATAGCCCGATTTTAGGCTATGACTTTGAATTTGCAGAAAATTTAAAATGGGAATATAAGAATAGCACTCATGTATAAGCTAATACTATAGCTTTGCTGCCTTCAATTTCTAAATTTGGAAGGACAAAATATGACTATTTTATCTATTATAATCAGATGTCTTATGATGGGAGGCGCACAACACACACACACACACACACACAAATCTCAAAAGTCAAAGTTGATTCTTTTTTTTTTTTAATTTTTTTTTTTAATTTATTATTTATGATAGTCACACAGAGAGAGAGAGAGAGAGAGAGGCAGAGACACAGGCAGAGGGAGAAGCAGGCTCCATGCACCGGGAGCCTGATGTGGGACTCGATCCCGGGTCTCCAGGATCGCGCCCTGGGCCAAAGGCAGGCGCCAAACCGCTGCGCCACCCAGGGATCCCTCAAAGTTGATTCTTTTTTTTTTTTTTTTTAATTTTTTTTATTTATTTATGATAGTCACAGAGAGAGAAAGAGAGAGAGGCAGAGACATAGGCAGAGGGAGAAGCAGGCTCCATGCACCGGGAGCCCGATGTGGGATTCGATCCCGGGTCTCCAGGATCGCGCCCTGGGCCAAAGGCAGGCGCCAAACCGCTGCGCCACCCAGGGATCCCTCAAAGTTGATTCTTAAACTAAAAATAGTTTGTAGGCAACTTACGGTTATTCCCAGCATTGGTAGTAGTAACATGTTGATAGTGTCATTTGCTGTGTCTGAATTTGTCACTGTTACAGTTATGGACTATAAAAAATAAATGAGAAAAATTGCTCCAAATTTTTTTTAAATTTAAAGCATGTGACCATAATTATTGTCAAATTATTACCCATACTCCAAAGGTGAAGCTTGTTTTCAGGTAATGACAAAGTAAAGCACATATAGAACACAAACCCTTAATTATATTTTCATTTTTTTATATAACATGAAGCTAGTAGGAAACATGTCAGTAAAACATATATTTCCCTCCAAGAATTTGTGGCATACAAAATACAGCAGCTTAAGCAAGGAAGAGAAAAACTGAGAATTCCAAAGGGCACATGGGGTGACCCTCAGCTCCATAAGGCTATTTCCAAAATGGAGGGGGGTGGGGATAGTATTAAAGGAAGGCACTAGATACTTTTCTCTCTTACTAAGTTGTGTTTTTATAGTATGGCTTAGTTCCTCTGTAATTACATAGTCAGTTTCAGTAAAATCAGAATAAGAACTGGCTATGAAAGACACTTTTTAAAAGTTACTATTTAGTCCATATTTTCTTTGTGTCAGGCATCATGGTTACTAAGACCTTCATTGTTGAAATCTGTTAAGACAAATAAAACCAATGAGTCTAGGAAATGAGACTAAAAATGTTAGAAGTTTATGTTCCATTCACAACTCTGCCAGCAAGTGGTTACTTATAATAGCTCTCTATCAGACCATACATTGAGAAACTGCTCCATACAACTAGGAAAAGTTTACTGAAAATTTTCTGAAATGGGTTAATAGGAATCTGAGATTATATTTATAAAACTATCTGAATTCCAAAAATCAATTTAAAATAAGAGAATATGTAACCAGAACATTTACTATGCCTACAGTTTTTATAACATTTTAAGGCAATGGGGCCCGTGTCTTTCAGGAAACAGTTCATAAAGAAGACAAACAGCACAAGTGGACACCCACAGGCCTTGAAAATATTAAAAACAAAGTTAAAAGAAACTCTTTCATAATTCATTCTTTGTCCTTTCATTGTCTTTTTCTTCTTATGAATTGAATGCAATTGCTTGATATGGCAGATGGTCCAAAAGTAATTCAATAGTAATTCAAATAGTAATTCAAGGGATGTATGTATATTTTCCTGCATGTTATAGGTTCTCCCAACAGACAAATTCCATTAGATAGAACTCTCTCTAAACAAATGACTTAAGAAAAATAAACTATTTTTTGAAATAATTCAAAAGAAAAAGAAAAGTTAGTTTTTGTTCACGAGTCAAACTGTTACTTAATATATGAAGAACCAGGAAAATGTGATCAATTTTCAAGAGCTGAAGCCACACCTGAGATGATCTAGATGCTTAGACTATTAGCCAAAACCAGCTATTACAATAATGCTCAATGATACAAATGAAAATATGCTCAAGATAAACAAAAATAGAGGCATCTTAGTATAGAAATAAGAAGTATTTATGACTTTTCCTTTTTTGAGAGGAAAAATATTTAAAAATAGAAATTTTTATCTGAAAAATATTTTTTAAAAATTTACTAAGTAGGCTACACTGTATAATGGAGATGACGAAAAGAAGTCAGTGATTTGAAAATAGATACTAGAAATTATCCAGTCTGAAGAAGAAAAGGGGGGAAAAGATTGAAAAAAAATTAACAGAGCCTGAGGGATCTGTGAACAATATCAGAAAGTGTCTGATATACAAAGAATGGGACTGTCAGGAGGAGAGAAAGAGAGATAATGAGGAAGAAAATATTTGATGTAATAATGATTAAAATTTCCCAAATTTGGTGAAGACGTAAATTTATAAATTCAAGAAATTCAGAATATGTCAAATAGGACAGATTCAAAGAACACCATGCTTAAGTACTTCATAGCCACACTGCTGAAAACCAGAAATAAAGAGAAAATCTTGAAAGCAGCTAGAGAAAAAGTGACAAATCACCTATGGAGGATTAATGTTTGAATGATCACAGACTACTCATCAGAAAGCATCAAGACCCAAAGACCAGAACATCTCTAAAGGACTAAAAGGAAAAAGTTTGCAAACAAAATTCTACATCTCCAAAAATATCCTTCAAGAGTCAGTGTGAAATAAAGCCGTATTCAGATAAAAGAAATTAAGTAAACCTGTTTGCACCAGTTCTGCACAACAAGAAATGCTAAGAATCATCTCTCTACAATGAAATGAAATAGTGCAGTGGGAAACTTGGATCTTTAAGAATGGGTGAAGAACATCAGAAATGTTTATTTCACACAAACTGTACCTCAATAAAGTTGATTTTTAAAAATTTCAAGGTAATTTTCCAAGGAAAGTTCTGAATGTAAACCACTGCCACAATTGATATCAAAGGCAGAGACAAGAATGTGCTCTGCTACTAGAGAATTCTTTCTCCTTCATGCAGTGCATCTAGCCGGCACTTAGAAACAGATCAAAATATTTGCGTGGCTTTTGCTTTAGCCAGGAATACCTTTTTTTTTCTGCTTTCAAATACTGTTTTGTGTGATCTAGAGCTACTTTATAACAACAACCACAAAAAATAACATTTAAAGATACCCAAAGTATCTTGTTCATCATTGTAAATGTCTTGGCTACTGTACTACAATTTCAGAAATCAAATTTTACACAAAACTGGGCCAATTGGTTTGATTTTTTTTCTCCCAACGGTATAAAGAAAATGAAATAGAAATATGCTGATCCCTTAAAAGTGTCATCCCTCTTAATTCAATCCTGATATTCCTTGGAACAAAAGACTTTTCAAAACTCCTCTGCATTTGACATAACTACTAAATGAAACACCTGATCCTTAAGTGGATCCTGTACTAGAAAGGAGACATTATTGAGGTCAACTGACAAAATGAGAATGGGAATGGCAGAGTAAAGTATTATGCCAAGGTTAAATTCACTAAAGGTGATAACTGTAGAATATCTTTATTCTTAAGAAATGCTTATGTTTAAGGAAAAAGGGCCATAGTATATGCATGATCCTCAAACGTAAGTATACACATACATGTAATAGACACAGAGAAAGAAAATAAATGATAAAGCAAATGGAATAAAGTGTTACTAATAGGTGAATCTAGATAAAGAGTATACGGGGTGTTTTTTGTATTACACTTATATTTACAACTTTTCTCTGAGTTTATAGTTATACCAAATAAAATATCTGGAGGGGAAAAAGAACTGTGGAGACAATCCAGACCATTCTGTATGTAAGTGGTGGCCATTGGAAAAAAAATGGTTGATTCTAAATTACTGTATTACAAGCCACTATAAGCAATTAGAAGGATCCAGAGAAATGTTAACTTAACATCCAATACTCTTTCCTTGCTTAAGCACTGTAGTATGTATTCCTCTTGCTTCATATTACCTAGGACACAGTTTTTAGGTCTACACAGAAGTACACGTAGAGGGGGAAAATACACTTTCCACATGGTACCTTTCTAAATATTCTCTCTCTCTTCCTACCTTTTGCTCTCTCCTTCCTCTCTCAACTCATTGCTTCCTCCCTCTCTGTCTCTCCACCTCTATCTCCATCTTTTTCATTCAGTCAGAATTAGGAACTCAGAATTTAATTGTTGGTCTTAAAAATACTTACACAGGCACAGTTCTTGATGTTCTCAGTTAAGATTTTGAGGGGAGGGATCCCTGGGTGGCGCAGCGGTTTAGCGCCTGCCTTTGGCCCAGGGCGCGATCCTGGAGACCCGGGATCGAGTCCCACGTCGGGCTCCCGGTGTATGGAGCCTGCTTCTCCCTCTGCCTGTGTCTCTGCCTCTCTCTCTCTCACTGTGTGCCTATCATAAAAAAAAATAATAATAAAAATAAAAAAAACCAAATTATTAAAAAAAAAAAAAGATTTTGAGGGGAATTCTTTTTGGTTGCTCTTTCTCTTTGGCTAGCATGATGTACCTAATCAAATTTGATAGTAACCCAAAATAGAGTAGGATAAATTACCTTACTTTCAAATCGATTTGTGTTGCTCATATTTTCAACATACTTCATTATTTTTAAATACATATAAATAAGCCCAGCAAAACCAAATTTTGGGTTGGAAGGAAACATGCAAAAATATTTCAGGAAAATAACCTGTGACTCGGAAAACAATAGATCACTCTCGTCATGTGAGATTTGACCAGCAGATCCAGTCACCAAAGCTTTCCTGCCTAGACCAGAGGGCCTACCAGCACCTTCAAATGTAGGAATGAGAAGTTGCTTTGAGCATTACTCAGTAGGGTAAACTGCACTTATGGAAATTTAATATATGTTTTGAGAATAATGTTAGCTATAATCGTGAGGTTGGAGAGTAGGGGAAGATGAGAGTGATAACCAGAATTTCATCAAAAATAAGCAATATATGCATGTAAAGGAGAGCAGGTTATTTGTAGTAACGGCCAGGGTACAATTAAATAAGAAATTATTGGAGGATAGTGTAACAATTTCTACTAAGGGGAGGGAGCATAGTTTGGGGGCACTGCTTTGAAGAGATTTACATTTTTTCATCATGGGTTAAAGACTTATAATAAGTATACTGACAAAATACTTTTGAAGGTAAGAACGCCATTTTTCCTTTCGTTCCGAAGAACTGCAATTTAAAAAATGAGAATAAAAAAATTGAGGAACATACAATACTCCTACTAACATATTAAGATTACCATTCCAGATTAAAAATATCCACAGCCCACTGTTAAGGGATGTGGATGTGTAAATTGTACTCCCCTTAGAGTTGGGCTTTTGATGGACTCCACTCTTTTGTGAGTGGTATTAAAGCAATGGGAAGTAGATCCAAAAGAGGAAGAACAGTGATTTCAAATCTGAAAACTTAATTGTGACTATGTGATGCAAGCTATGTGATCATGGGCACGTTGTTAACCACTTTCATATTTAGTTTCCAGAACTGGAAACGGGTTAATTAAAGCTCAGAGTGTTCCTACAGCTGCAAGGGCTATTCGCATTTAAAGAATATAACCATTCAAATTAAATCATATTTAAGAAATTTAGCATTTTGATGTAACTGTCTTGGCTCAGAAACAAGAATATCTTTTTAGGGAAAGGCACCTGTAATATTTTTATTTCTTTATACATATGGCAGATTGTAATATGTTAAATTAGTTCCTAAAGACCTTATTCTTCATCACTGTGATCTTCTGAGAAAGATCAATCCACTGATGCAAAATTACTAAAGATCAGTATTTTCTCTGTTAAAATTTTCACAGCATTTAATATCCAAAGTTGCGAATGTCTTAAGGCTCATTCACACGTGGACTTATCACTTACCAGCATTTTTTTTTTATTGTGGTAAATTACACATAAAAGAAAATTGACCATTAGTGACCTTTAGTACATTCACAGTTTTGTGCAACCATCATGACTGAACATTTTTATCACCCCAAAGCAAACATGTGTCTATTAAGCAGTCATTCTCCCTTCCCTCCTGTCCCTAGCTCCTGTACCACATTTTGTATGTTTGTTGATAAACACTTGGTTTGTTCTTTCTTTCTTTCCTTTCTTTCTTTCTTTCGCTATTGTCAACAATGCTGCTACAAACGTTTGTGTATCAATTTTTGCATGGACATGTTTTCCTTTCTCTTGGATATGTGTCTGGAGGTCATATGTAATTCTGTTTCACTTATTGAGGAGCCATCAAACTGTCCACGGTGGCTGCCACATTCTATATTTCTACCAGCAACACTGCTCCCCACCCCCTCCATCACCATTTCAGGATCTGTCGCATCAAGAAAGTAGAATGCCCATTTAGTGTCCCACCCTGACTAGGTGCATAGACACAGCTTCTAGTTACTATGCCAATCTGCAGAACAGTAATAATAATCAATAACAAAAGCATTAGGTGCCAGGCATTGTTATAAATGCCTTCTATATATTTATACAGCCTATTAACTAATACAACATGTATAAACTTGACTTCCACATTTTCCTCCTATTAGGGGAAAAAAATTTCTTGGACACTCCCCTACCAAACACTTTATATATTCTCATTTGAAACTGTTTCCTTCCATTTGTAATCTGGAGAAGATATTAAGCAATGGGAACTGTGATCTTTATGGAAAAGAAGACCCGCAGAGAGGATATAAATACATGTTTCTTCTCAAAAAGCTTTGAAAATTTTTCACTAAGTTAACAGCTGCATTTTAGGATTAATAAATTAACAACTTGTAAACATTTTTGTTGTCTTACGTGTGAGATTTTGGAGTGGGGTGAGGAGAAGAAAGCAGTGTGCTAAGTGCAACTGCGTAAAATAGGAACGAGGCTTGGGGTGTGGATGTTTCAAACAGAGATGCAAGTGTGGCATGATCCCTGTAAACTCAGAGGTGTCTGCTCAGGATATCCAGGGTTGAGAGCCACATTCCCCATCCTCATGTCAGCCTAAGAATGTGTCTTACACAACTAACCTCTACTCAATGGAATCATATTTTTGTTTTAGATTGTCACCAACTAAGATGATCTGTACACAGCAATTCAGGCAACCTAGTATTCAATGACATGATCAATTTATTTGTATAATTACATACTATTGTTAAGGGAATTAACTTGGGAGTGTAAAAGCAATTTTTCAAATTTAATTGGACCCTTTAATAGTACTTGCTCAATAAATCTATTCCGGTGATTTAAAAATGCAGATACTCCCTGGGAATCAGAGGGCAGGATATTGGAGAGGAGACCTTGAACCTCACTCTGTTGATTCTCCTTCTACATAACTAGAACACCTAACTCCTCAAGTGGCTACTAGAGCCCATTTGAAAAACCACTGATCAAAACCGAAGGAAATTACTCCAGTAGTTCCCAGTATACATTATCTACTTGCTTCCATGTGGATATAAGCACCTTCTTAGGCAGAGTACAAGGCAAAACAAGTGTCATGGGAGGTCAAAAAGTGAGTCACCAGCTTGGTAAACAATAGATTACAAGGTTATCCTTTTCAAGCCATATAAATACAGGACACCAAGCCATTGGTCTTACCTGAAGGTAGCCAGGAAGTTCACCGTGGGCCAGCCCAACACAAAGGACCTCACAGAATGGATGTTGGCATCTCCCACTGTATCCATGCAGTTGCAATCCACATGGTGTTCAGTGGTATTTTATTTTTTATCTTAAAGGTTTTTTTTTATACCTAGAAAGATCCCAAACAAGACCTCTCTTAGTTCATTTCAAAAATGTTATGGGAGCAGCTGTGCTCATTAGAGACCAGTTCTCACTGTTCCAGGGTAAATCATGCCTCCCACATCTCTATTACCCTCTGTGCACACACAGCAAATGGTTAGATGGGCCTTTGCAACATGTGTGTTGAGCAAACTCTGGCTTGGAAACCTGAAAACACTTACTCTAATGGCAGCAAATAGCCGTATTTTTGAATGGTGAGTGTTGAGTAACCACTGTATATTTTAGAGCTTTGTAAGAAAACCATTAATTCATTTGCTATTGCTGGATTTGTTACTTATTATACATAATTTTATGGCTATTAATACAGTTAATTATTCATTTATGACTTGCATACTTCAAAAAGTGTCTGAGGGGCTGAACAAAGGTACCTGATACATGATTTATAAAAATAGTTATACAATTTTTTTCTTAAGAGAGACAAACCAGGGGCACCTGGGTGGCTCAGTCAGTTAAGTGTCCAACTCTTGATTTCGGCTTGGGCCACGATCTCAGGCTCTTGAGATCATGCCCCTGTGTAGGGCTCCCCACTCAATGAGGAGTCTGCTTCCTCTCTCTCTCTGCCCCTCCCCCTGCTCATGCTTGCTCTCTCTCTAAAATAAATAAATAAATAAATAAATAAATAAATAAATAAATAAATAAATCTTTTAAAGAGTGTGAGGGAGAGAAACAAAGTCAAAGCAAAAAAAAATAAGCTTGGATCAGAAAGATTTAAAAGTTACTTTCAACCTTAATTTAAAAAAATATTTTCTAGCCTTTAAAGCATAGGTTATTTTCAATTTCCCTTCTTAAAATTTTGTCGATACAATTTTCCCTTAGATTCTGGCTAAAACGAAAAAACTGTTAGCCTACAGACTGAGCCTGACTGAAAAATCATCCATCCATCCATCCATCCATCCATCTGTCCATCAATCAATCCCAGATCAGTGGTCTGGAGGTCTTATATGTAAGTCATGGATACTTCCCATTTCTCTGAGGAGTCAAAAGGGGTGAAACCGCTTTTTGATAATCTCTGCCTAATCTTCTTTGACCTCAAAGATGAAAACCATCATTGACTTATTTTGGTTGATTAATTGATTAATTTGGTTAATTCACAACTTGGGCTCACAGGTAGGCTTGAGATTTAAATAGTTACAAGTCCTCTAAGGGATGCCTGGGGAACTTGGATCCTCCACTCTAGAACTCCTTACTATTCAGAAACACATGTGGAAAACACTGAACTAAACTGAGATGAAAGACACCTCATGTGCAAAAATCCCTATGACTCCACTGATTCATGAAACAATTAAAGCTAAAACTCTTCAATGGGATTTATGAAATAAAAATAATCTCTTAGGAAGCCCACTTGAAGGATAGTCTAGATTCAAAGCTTAGGACATAATGAATATAAATATGATGGATACCAACATCTTTCCACATTTTTTTTATTTCAACATTTTTTTATTTCAGCATTACACCCAAGTCCTGTATCTGTGTGCTTGAAGATTTTTATGGAACATAATCAATTAACAGATAAAATCATTTTTCTAGATAGTAATTCCAAAGGCATTGTCACATCAAAAATATATGGCCAAGGGGAATGATAGATATCTGCTTGTTTTTACAGTTTTTTTTTCTTTCTAATATAGGTATTTGTGTATATACAGACACCTAAGATCCCATGTGGAAACTTCCAAATATATTGACCTGGAAAAAGCCATCCAATAACCTTAGTTCAATAAAGCACCAGGATTAGTTGAACCAAGGAATTATCCTAGAGCCCAGAGCATGGTTTCTACTCTCCTATAACATTTTGAACACTTATCATATGCCAAGCTCTGTTCTAAATATTTTATAAATATAAATATAAAAAATTTAATCCTCAAGCAACTACACTAGATGGTCTCTATTAGTTCCATTTTAAAAATAAGGAAACTCAGAAAGTGTGAATAAATTGTCAAACGCAGGAGACAGGGTTTGAACCCAGACAGCCTAACTCATAAGTCCATGTTTGTAAACACTTGGCCATGAAGTAGCCTTTTCATCTTTCCTACCCTCAGCTTCATTTCTGTCCCCAGAGCCATCAGGCTTTCTCATGGGATTTATATTGGGAGTGAGAGGATAAATCTCAAGGCATTATATTAATAAAGCCAGTTGCTAGCTTGGAGATATTTAAAATGTGTTTTAAACAAAGCTTTATACTTCAATAGATTCTTCTAAGGTCTTACTGTGTTTCTTTACTCTCAATCACTGACCCAACTGGATTATCTCAGCAGAAATTTGAAAGTGTTAATCTACTGTAAACTGACTCAAGAAGAAGGAAAAGGAGGAGAACTGCAGTTTTTACTTCTAAAAATAGTCCTTTACTATAGTTGTATTAACATGATGGATGTCCTTGCTTTCCACTACCTTAACCTTTATGCCAGAAGGTAATCCCCAGTGAACTGTGGAGATTTGCAGGATTCTAGGGAGATTTCCTCTGTTCTAAGATAGAGGTATTCTCTTACAAATGTTGGGAGCAGGGGTCATAGTCTATTCTGTAACTATTTGTCATTTCACTGACAATGAGTTAATAGTCATCTTCATCTTTTGACCAAATTAAATTCATTTTTTATTTCATTTCTATATTCTTTAATAACTAACGATGAGGAATGTGATGTCTAAAGAGGGTGTGAGCTAAGTTCAGTCCCTTTTTCTAAATTCACAGGTTTCTACTAGTATAAATATCTTAATATTTTATCAAGTAGATACTATTCTCTCTTTTTTTAAAGATTTCATTTATTTATTCATGAGAGACACACACAGAGAGGCAAAGACATAGGCAGAGGGAGAAGCAGGCTCCCTGTGGGGAGCCTGGTGAGGGACTTGATCCCAGGACTCCAGGATCATGACCTAAGCCAAAGGCAGACACTAAACCACTGAGGCACCCAAGTGCCCCAAGTAGATACTCTTCTTAAAAATAAAGTGATTTTTATTTTAATTTTTAAAGTACTTTAATTTTTAAAGTAATTTTTATTTGAAAAATAACTTTAGTATTCTAATGAATATCAAAAATGATAAGGTTCCATTTGACTTCAATTCTTGCGAACACAAGTTTCTAGTGTATGAAAGAAGTGACAAAAATCCCCAATTTTCACTATTATTAACATCTTGTACAACTGGAGAAATAGAATTTCTTTGTGAAGAAACATTTAATTCCCCTCATTATTATGCGCAAGCCAAAATTCACTAATTCTGACCAAAAAAACAGGTAGAAATTAATCAACTATTTATTCAATTTCTGTTAAATTCTGTAGTGTCCACCTAAGATGAGAGAGTCTCCAGCTGATGCCTGAGGGTGAGCTGAGGTAAAATGGAACCTGGGCCACCCTACACCCTTTTTATGGCTAATTGGAAAAATTAGGCACTAAACTCAGATTATTAATTTGAATAGATTGAATGAGGGTATTGATTCCTCCATGTAAGAGCAAGGCATGACAGGGATGAAATATCTTTGTTATTTCAGGGGCTATTCCTTTTTAGTTGTTTCCTTCTAGAAAAAAAAAGGTAATTTTTTTCATATTAACAGTGATCATAAATATACCCAAATATTTACTATGGGAATGATCTCATAGTAGTTTTCTAAAGATTGTGACAAGCATTAAGTGCTGCTTGCTACTGCTATGGATGAAATTGTGTCTCCCTCCTACTGCTTTCCTGCCTTCTTACCATAAAGCCCTCTCTGCCGGTATCATGATGTTTGGAGATAGAGCTGCTTTTTTTTTTTTTTTTTTTTTTTTTTTGATATAGAGCTTTTGAAGGTAATTAAGTTTAAATGGGATGATCAAGGTAAGGTCCTAATCCAATAAGATGGATGGCCTTGTAAGAAGCGGGAGAGATCTGTATGTGTGTACATACATGCATTGAGGAAATGCCTTGGGGTACACAGTGAGAAGGCAGCCATGTGCAAGCAGAAAAAGAGCTCTCACCAGAACCTGACCGTGATGATATCCCGAACTCGGAATTCTAAAAATCTGTGTTCTCTCTATATCAAAGACCTTGGCTTAAAAATGAAATTCAAATGCCTGAGATCACTTACATTTTCTAATATTCCCAATGTATATATAAAGTATATAAGATAATATTTTGGGAGCTGAGTCTCTTTCAAAGAACATTAACAAATAAATTGATAAAGATTTTGTCACATAAAAACCCTTGAGTAGACATAAGGACATATCTCAAAAACAATATGTGAAAGATGAAAAATGGGGATCCCTGGGTGGCGCAGCGGTTTGGTGCCTGCCTTTGGCCCAGGGCGCGATCCTGGAGACCCGGGATCGAGTCCCACATCGGGCTCCCGGTGCATGGAGCCTGCTTCTTCCTCTGCCTGTGTCTCTGCCTCTCTCTCTCTCTCTCTCTCTCTGTGCCTCTCATAAATAAAAAAAAAAATTAAAAAAAAGAGAAAGATGAAAAATGTTCAACTTGTTTTGTCATAATGAACCATTTGAAATAAAAATTCCGCCCTTCAATAGGTGCAACTCTCTAGTGGAAAAAGAACACTGTCTTTATATAAAATCTTTTTAGCAGAACATCGTAGGCTCTGCCAAAACCCGCTGAAAGGTAACCAGCACCCAGGACAATAAATGGTTCTAGTAAGAAAAGGAAAGTCTTCTCCTCTCCCTAAATGCTATAATAATTACAAAGATTAAAAAAAAAAAAAGGAAGAACAGTATTCCCCTTATAAATTGAATATGAGTGGTCTGTAAGGTCCTAACAACCAGGAAATGAGTTTGCTATTTGTTAGCATGTCTCTTGGGCTAAGGATGGAAGGGCACAACATGGTATGGGAGGAAGAACATGGCCTTGGATGAAGGCAGGCCTGGGTTGGAAGCTCTTGCATGATTTCCCTTTGTATGACTGTACCATTTCTGAGACTTCCCCTGTCCCCATTTTCATCTCTGCAGCCTGTGGATGATAAAAAATACTGGCCTCGGAGGGCTGTGAGAAAATTTTTATTTATTCATGAAAGATACACAGAGAAAGGCAGAGACATAGGCAGAGGGTGAAGCAGGCTCCCTGTGGGGAACCCGATGTGGGACTCAATCCCAGGACCCAGGGATCATGACCTGACCCAAAGGCAGATGCTCAATCACTGAGAAACCCAGGTGGGTGAGGCATCTGTGATGTTCCTAGTGTGGTTTCCAGCATGCATCCCACATATTTTGGTCTCCCATATTCACCTTGGTTAAATCTGGATAACGGTAACTAGTCTGCATTTTTAAAATAATGACTTGGCCCTCTATCAGGAGGAGTAGAGTCTTTCATATGGACCTCATGCCAAGGTCTGGACATTCTTTTTCTCTTTGTCCTCCTTATGACATCACCACCTTCAAGGTTACATCTATGGGCAATTTCCCTAATCTCAAATATATATTTACTACTATCTTTGCCTTTGATTTTTTTTGATAGCTATACTTCCTTCATTTTTCAATTCACTAAGTGTTCTGATTTCTTTATTACCAAGCAGATTGGAGTTCATTGTTCACTCAACGTAAAGGAAGGGTTGATTTCAATAATGAAAGAATCTAGGTGTTCATGGAATGTTCTATGAAATTCAGGAAAAAAGAGAGAATAGAAATGGTAGCACCACATAGTGAATAAAAGCCTGTGCTTTGAAATAAATAGACCTAATTTCAAATGTAGAGTCTGTCAATTACTAATATGGTAACCTGGGCAGAGCCATTAGACCTCTGAGCATCAAGGTTCTCCAAAATAAAAATAATCTGATCTCGCAGGGTAGTTGTAAGGTTGGACAAAATTAGGTACATAAAGTTTTTTAGCATAACATCTGACGTGTAGTAAGCCCCTCATAAATTATTAATGTAACTCAGATGAGTATAGCATTTTGCCAAATTATTACTAGCATGTCTTACCTATGACATGGCATAACTGGGATCTAGGGTGAAGGCAGTAAAAAAAGAGGGGGTTAGTTTTTTTCTCATGACCAAAAAATTTCTTGATATTTTGTTTGTGGGAGTCTTCTTTGTCTTCCATGTTTTGTGAATAATGCAAACAGAGATGGAGTAAGTAAACAGGTGACCTTCCATGACCTGCTCCCAGACGTTTATTGAGCAATTATGTTCTAGACTGGATATTTGATGCATTTGTGTTCAGGGTTGAGAGGATAGTGCACACAGTCGATTCTTTCTCCTACATTCCATCTGTCTGCTCCATCTTTTTTTTTTAAGATTTCTTTATTTATTCTTTATTTATTCTTTATTGTTATGAGAAACACAGAGAGGAGAGAGAAGCAGAGACACAGGCAGAGGGAGAAGCAGGCCCCATGCAGAAAGCCTGATGTGGGACACGATCCCAGGTCTCCAGGATCACGCCCTGGGCTAAAGGCAGCGCTAAACCCCTGAGCCACCCGGGCTACCCTGCTCCATCTTTCCTTTTTACTAAACTGCTAAGACAGAGCCCTGATACCATCCATCAGGACTATTGCCTCCCCTAACTAGTCTCCCTGCTTCCACTCTTGCTTACCCACCCATCTATTATCTACCAACAGTCAGAATAATTTGCTAGGAATATAAATCAGATTTGGTCAGTCCCCTAGTTAAAAATCCTTTGGCAAAATATTTCCACCTTTTTACCATGGCCTGTGAAGACCCTGTGTGACTAGACCCTTGAGCACAGTATCATATCTGATAGCATGGCCCATGCTCTAGGCTCTAGTCAAATCAGTCTTCCCTGAGCCCCTCTCTCTGAGGGGTCAGATTGTATGCACATAGGCTTGCAAGTCCCTCAGCCTCGACAGCTCAGGCACATTGTCTGGGAATGTGGCTGCTTCTCCTCTCATAGATTTGGTTTTAATGCTCCACCTCAGAGAGGCCCTCCTAGACTATTCCTCTCTAATAATGTTCCCACCCTCTCCGCACAGCCCCCATCCACCTTCTATCAGCAACACTAATCATTATCATCCCCCCTCTTATTTTTATCATTTGTAAGTCCCAGGCAGGAGAGACACTGGCCTGTCACATTGTCAATTGTATTTGCTGCAGGGACATGACACAAAACAAGACCTCCAGAAGTACTCATGGAATGAAGGACTCAAGTATTGGCAAACACAAAAGGAAAAAAAAAAAAGTAATGTTTTCTTATAGTAAGGGTTAATGAAGAAAGAGAAATTAAGGAGTCAATCCCATTTACAATTGCACCCAAAAGCATAAGATACCTAGGAATAAACCTAACCAAGGAGGTAGAGGATCTATACCCTAAAAACTATAGAACACTTCTGAAAGAAATTGAGGAAGACACAAAGAGATGGAAAAATATTCCATGCTTGTGGCTTGGCAGAATTAATATTGTGAAAATGTCAATGTTACCCAGGGCAATTTATACATTTAATGCAATCCCTATCAAAATACCATGGACTTTCTTCAGAGTTAGAACAAATTATTTTAAGATTTGTGTGGAATCAGAAAAGACCCCGAATAGCCAGAGGAATTTTAAAAAAGAAAACCATAGCTGGGGGCATCACAATGCCAGATTTCAGGCTGTACTACAAAGCTGTGGTCATCAAGACAGTGTGGTACTGGCACAAACACAGACACATAGATCAATGGAACAGCATAGAGAACCCAGAAGTGGACCCTCAACTTTATGGTCAACTAATATTCAACAAAGGAGGAAAGACTATCCACTGGAAGAAAGACAGTCTCTTCAATAAATGGTGCTGGGAAAATTGGACATCCACATGCAGAAGAATGAAACTAGACCAGTCTCTTGCACCAGACACAAAGATAAACTCAAAATGGATGAAAGATCTAAATGTGAGACAAGATTCCATCAAAATCCTAGAGGAGAACACAGGCAACACCCTTTTTGAACTTGGCCACAGTAACTTCTTGCAAGATACATCCACAAAGGCAAAAGAAACAAAAGCAAAAATGAACTATTGGGACTTCATCAAGATAAGAAGCTTTTGCACAGCAAAGGATACAGTCAACAAAACTCAAAGACAACCTACAGAATGGGAGCAGATATTTGCAAATGACGTATCAGATAAAGGGCTAGTTTCCAAGATGTATAAAGAACTTATTAAAATCAACAGCAAAGAAACAATCCAGTCATGAAATGGGCAAAAGACATGAACAGAAATCTCACAGAGAAATGCAATTTTTTTGAGAATCACAAGAGCACGAAACATGGTACACCTACTTGGTATTAGATATCAGCAACAAATTGCTGTACAAGAAAAGCTGCCGCTTCTGCCTCCTCCAGCCCCTCTTGAGTTCAACGGGGCCATGGATGAGCACAGTACGAGTGGCACCCTCAGATGATGTAGTGCTTTCGCTGTGGGTGTCCACCTCCACAGACGAGCTCTTCCTGCAATACATCAAACACAGAGCAGCTAGTTACTAGTCAAATACACAATATAGTTTAATGCCAAGTGTCAAGGTTTACACAACACTAAAATTTAGTCTCGACCCCCAAAGCAGAGCTCCAGAGCTCAGAATCAGGGATCCCTGAGTTACAGAAAGCTATAGAAAGAGGTGAGGTCACTTGAGGAACTGATGCTGAGGGAGGACAGTTGCAAGGACAAAGCCCTTGAGCATGCCAACACTTAGAGGTGTGGTGGAGAAAGAAGCAAAGCTAATCATGAGCCATTAGGCGGGCGAGAGCCAAGAAGCCAAAGGTAGAGCAGATTACAAGAAGGTGAATGAACAACAACAAACAGGACAACTTGTGGCCTAATATAAAATAAAACAATGTGTGAAGAATTAACTACAATTTGCTTTTATGTTAAGATAAAAATGAAGATAACTGAAGATTCTGGAAATTGATCCCCATCTTATCTAATTCAATATTCAAAATTGGGGTAAAAATTCTCAAAGATGAGCAAAAATACTGGAAACCTCAGAAAGTTTCTGAACACAAGAGTTTAGCTATTATTTGGCTGAGCTCTGACAGGACTTCCTGGTCAGAATAGGTAAAACAACTCAATTGAACAGAATGTAAAAATTCTTTCATAAATAGGACAGGTATTTTTATAGACCCGCTGAAAATTCTGTCTCATGGAGAGAGAGAGTTGGCTCTTTCGTGGAGCCAAGAAAGTATCTCCGCCTCCCCCAAGGATGTATAAAGCTTGCTCCCTTCTGCTCATCAGCACTGAATCTTACGAACAGGAGCAGCTTTTCAGGAAGCTGGTGCTGAAGTTACTTATTAGTTTCTATGTATTAGAAGAAACAAAAGAAAACACCACTTCCTGTTATTGCCAGTCTGTTTGGATGATCAGAAATAGTGTATCAGAAGATTACCTCATGCAGTGAAGCCTTGAATGACCACCTGTAAGTTCAGCATGCTTCCTGATTGACGTGAACATCCTTTTTTCTTCAATTCATGGGACGGGAAATCGAGTGAGTCTACAGCACTTGGCAGAGTACTGTCAAATGCTTGAAGCCTGAAGATTCCACAGTGGTCCGAGATCACTGACATTATGATGTCACAGATTCAAAGCTCATGTCATAACTGCCAAACTGACATACTGGTTTCCCTATCTTGGCCTCCAAGTTTTGATTTTTTAAAAGTTATCTTTTTATTTTGAGATAACTGTAGATTCATTTGCAGCTATAAGAAATAATACAGAGAGATAACATCAGTTTTTTACAGATGGAGTCTTCCAGAGATGCTTCCATCACCACAAGGGTCCTTCCTATTACCCGTTTACAACCACACAAATTTCTTTCCCCCTCCACCACCTCTTTAATCTCTGGCAATCACAAATCTGTTCTCCATGTGTATAATGCTGCCATTTCAAGAATGTTATACAGATGGGATCATATAGTTTATGACATTTGGGGATTTGCTTTTTTCCATTTGATGTAACTGGAAATTCATCTGGACAGCTGCAAGTATTCACAGTTCATTTCTTTGTGTCCCTTAGTAGTACATCATGATATGGATGTATCACAGTTTGCTTAACTACCTGTTGAAGGAGTTCAGGATTGTCTGCAGGTTTTGGCTGTCACTAATAAAGCTACTATAAACATCTGCATACAGGTTTCTGTGTCAGCATTAAGTCTTTACTTCTCTGGGCTAAATGCCCAGGAGTGCAAGAGCCAGGTCATATGGTAGCTGCTATGTTTTGTTTTTTAAGAAACTGTCCAACTGTTTTCCAGAATGGCTGTGCCATTTCACATTCTCCCCAGTACTGTATGAGTCATTCAGTTTCCCCTCATCCACACGAGCAGTTGGTGTTGTCATTTTAGCTATTCTGATAGCTGTGTAGTGTGATATCTCACTGTGGATTTCACTTGCATTTCCCTAATGGTTAGTGATACTAACCATTGATTTGCCACCTGGACATCTCCTTCAGTGTCACAGCACCTACAGGAGCCTGTTAAAAACATGTTACATGAAGACGGTGTTCCCTTTCCACTAGGAAACTAATGGTTTTACAGATGATGAGGCTCCTGCACATACAGGTTGGACTCTGAATCCAAGCAGCCGTGATGTAGCATGAAGGATTCAAATCCAGCTGACTCAGGAGGTCACGCAGCTTCCTGTGAGCTGCCCCCCCACCTTCCCACATGGACAGTGTCTTTCTTTGACAACTGTGGAGGACTGAAATTTGATCCTATGGACAAAGTTTGTGGTTTCCCTTACAGGCTCCTGTAACAGGCATGTGAAAACCTATCTTTTATTCCCCACTAGACTCTATGGACCTCAAGGAAAGAGTCTGTGTCTGATCTATCATTAAATTCTCACAAACATTGGCACGTCAGAGGAATAAAAAAAATTCTGTATTGAACAAGTGAATGAAATAGTTTTCTGGCAGGGATGGACAGGGAAAAAGGCATGACATAAAACAGTCTTTCTCTTATTTACTTCATTCATTCAACAGATAGTGTTAGAACCTGTACTAGGAGAAAGGCACTTGATAGGTCTGGGCAACAGGGAGCCAGGCCCAACTCTCACAAAACCAGGATTTAAATGAGGAGGGGGGGAGACAGAAATTAAACAGAGAATGCCATCAATAACTGCCTAACACAGCCTCTGGAAAGTACTGCAGAGGAAAATTAAAGAGTGAGATGAGAAATTTAGAGAGGGACTTGACACCTGATTTCAGTTATGGAGAGGAAGGCTTCTTTGAAGAGCTCATTTGAAATGACCTTTAAAGAATAATTTGGGATTACTTAGAAGAGAGAAAGAGGAAGGAAGGGGGAAGGGAGGGAAGATACATTTGTCAGTTGAAGGGACAGAATGTGACTGACAGATGTTTCAGAAACATGGAAGACTTTGCTGGATTGGAGACACAAGCAGAAGGTACAGGAGAGTGAAACCGGCCTGTAAATTAGGTAGAGGTGAGAGCACAAGTCCTGGTAGTCTTTTTAGACTTTATTAAGGCTTCTCATCTTAAAACCAAACTAACACAGAAGTGGCATGTAGATAGTGGCCTCCAGACTTCTCACCACTTTTATTTATTTTTTAAAAATATTTTATTTGGGATCCCTGGGTGGCGCAGCAGTTTGGCGCCTGCCTTTGGCCCAGGGCGTGATCCTGGAGACCCGGGATCGAATCCCACGTCGGGCTCCCGGTGCATGGAGCCTGCTTCTCCCTCTGCCTGTGTCTCTGCCTCTCTCTCTCTCTGTGACTATCATAAATAAATAAAAATTAAAAAAATTTTTTATTTGAGAGAGAGAGAGAAAGAGACAGTGCATGTGCACAAGAGATGGGGGGCAGAGAGAGAGAGAGAGAGAGAGAGAGAGAGGAAGAAGCACAAATGGCACTGAGTGTGGAGTCTGACCTGGGGCTCTGTCTCATGACCCTGATATCATAATCCTGAGCCGAAATCAAGAGTCAGAAACTTAACCAACTAAGCCACCAGGTGCCCCTTCTCACCACTTTTAAAGGACAAGTGCTAGTCTGGCCATGCTTGACTGTATTTAGAACCATGGAGGCTCATTGGGCAAGACTTTCTGGCCTCCCATCAAGCACCTGTCAAAATCTATTTCAGGTAAAAAATAATCTATTTCAGGTCAAAAATATAGGCAGACTTATCTCTGCACCTTCCCCAATTCTCAGATTGTGTCCCATTCTCTGCATCTCCCTTCAGGGAGGTTAGAGATTTAGAGGCCAGGAAAACCTCTCCTTTTAGAATCTAGTCCTGTTGGGATCCCTGGGTGGCGCAGCGGTTTGGCGCCTGCCTTTGGCCCAGGGCGCGATCCTGGAGACCCGGGATCAAATCCCATGTCGGGCTCCCGGTGCATGGAGCCTGCTTCTCCCTCTGCCTGTGTCTCTGCCTCTCTCTCTCTCTCTGTCTGTGACTATCATAAATAAATTAAAAAAATTTATATGTAAAAAAAAGAATCTAGTCCTGTTGATCAATTCTGATATGCATCAGACTCATTTGGAAGGCTTTTCAGGCACTCATTCTGAAACTGCCTCCCCCAGAGGTTCTGATTCATCAGATCTGGAAAAAGCTCTTTGAGTGATTCTTACATGTAACCAGGATTGTGAGTCACTGGTTTTCAGGAATTAATTGAGAAAGATACAGTGTTTGATAGCATCTTCTCCTTGTAGTAAAGCAAAGGAGAGAAAAGTTTGTCTGAGAAAGATAAAGGGAGCTTTGTTTTACCATGTCATAATTACCTTTGCAGTAATAGCTAAAGCTTAATTTCTTCCATAATACCATTGTTATTTATTTTAATTTGATGAATGAGCTCTAAATAGAATAGTGATAGGATCTGTTTTCTTTTCTTTTTAAAAGACTTTATTTATGTATTTATTCATGAGAGACACAGAATGAGAGAGAGAGAGGCAGAGACACAGGCAGAGGGAGAAGCAGGCTCCATACAGGGAGCCCGATGTGGGACTCCATCCCGGGTCCAGGATCATGCCCTGGGGTGAAGGCAGCACTAAACCGCTGAGCCACCTGGGCTGCCCTAGGATCTGTTTTCATCTATTTCACCGAACACCTATGTTTTCACCCTAAATATCAAATAGAAGAGATACTGTAAGGTGATCTTTATGCTCGTAACACCATACCATTGATCTATTGTCTCTTTTTGTCAATACCATACTGTTTTGATTACAGCTTTGTAATATATCTTGAAATCTGAGATTGTGATACCTCCAGTGTTTTTCTTTTTCAAGATTGCTTTGGCTATTTGGGGTCTTTTCTGGTTCCATAAATGCTTATGAATTACTTGTTTTAGTTCTGTGAAAAATACTATTGGTACTTTGACAGGGATTCCATCAAATCTGTAGATTATTTTGAGTATGGGACATTTTATTAATACTTGTTCTCTCATCAATAAGCATATTGGAATATTTTCCCATTTGTGTTGTTTTCAATTTTTTTCACCAATGTTTTATAGTTTTTCAGTATATATATAACTTTCACTTCCTGGTTTAACTTTATTTTTAGGTATCTTATTATTTTTGGTACAATTGTTAATGGGATTGTTTCTTAATTTCTTTTTGCTCTTCATTATTAGTGTATAGAAATGCAATGGATTTCTGTATATTGGTTTGTATCCTGTGACTTTCTACATATAGTACCATGGCACCTGCAAATAGTGAAAGTTTTACCTCTTCCTTACCCATTTGGATGCCATTTATTTATTTATTTTTTTGTCTGATTGCTGGGGCTAGGACTTCCAGGGCTATGCTGAATAAAAGTAGTGAGAGTGGAAATCCTTGTTTTGTTCTTGATCTTGGGGGAAAAGCTCTCACTTTTTCACCATTGAGTATGATATTAGCTGTAGTTTTTTTATATATGGTCTTCATTCTGTTGAGGTATATTCCCCCTAAACCTACTTTGTTGAGTTTGTATCATGAATGGATGTTGTACTTTTAAATGCTTTTCTGCATCTATTAAAATGATCATGGTTTTTTAACCTTCTCTTGTTGATGCGATGTATGATGTCAATTGATTTGTGAATATTGAATCACATTTGCATACTAAGAATAAATCCCACTTGATCATGGTAAATGATTTTTTAATGTATTGTTGGATTTGGTTGGCTAATACTTTGTTGAGGATTTTTGCATGTACGTTCATCAGAGATATTGGTCTGTGGTTCTCTTTCTTTCTCTGTAGTCTCTTTATCTGGTTTTGGTATCTGGCCTCATAGAATACATAGAAGCTTTCCTTCTTCTGTTTTTTGAAGTAGTTTGAGAAGAGTAGGTGTTAACTCTTCTTTATATGTTTGGTAAATTTTTTTTAATATTTTATTTATTTATCCATGACAGAGAGAGACAGAGGCAGAGACACAGGCAGAAGGAGAAGCAGGCTCCACACAAGGAGCCCGATGTGGGCCTCGATCCCAGGACTCCGGGATCATGACCTGAGTCAAAGGCAGATGATCAACTGCTGAACCACCCAGGTGTTCCTAAATGTTTGGTGAAATTTACCTGTGAAGGCATCTGGTCCTGGACTTTTGTTTTTTGGGAGTTTTTTGAGTACTGATTTGATTTCATTGTGGATAATCAGTCTGTTCAAATTTTCTATTTTTTCCCAACTCAGCTTTGAGAGGTTATATGTTTCTAGGAATTTATCCATTTCTTCTAGGTTGTCCAATTAGTTTGCATACATTTTCATAATATTCTCTTAAAATCCTTTATATTTTTGTGGTGTTGTTTGTTATTTCTCCTTTTTCATTTCTGATCTTGTTTGAGTCCTCTCTCTCTCCCTCTCTATCCTTTTTTTTTAAGGATTTTATTTATCCATGACACAGGCAGAAGGAGAAGCAGGCTCCATGCATGGAGCCCAATGTGGGACTCGATCCCGGGTCTCCGGGATCATGCCTTGAGCTGAAGGCAGATGCTTAATCACTGAGCCACCCAGGCGTCCCCCGCCCCTCTCTTTTTTATGAGTCTGGCTAAAGGTTTATCAATTTGGTTGATCTTTTTAAAGAACCAGCTCTCCTGGTTTCATTGATCTGTTCTATTGTTTTTTGTGGGTTTTTTTGTTGTTGTTGTTGTTGTTTGTTTTTTTAGTTTCTATTTCATTTATTTCTGCTCTAATCTTTATTATTTTATTTCTTCTGCTGGTTTGGGGTTTTATTTGTTCTTCTTTTTCCAGCTTCTGTAGTGTAAGGTTAGGTTGTTTATTTGATATTTTTCTTGCTTCTTGAGGTAGGGCTGGATTGCTCTAAACTTCCCTCTTAGAACAGCTTTTGCTGGATTCCAAAGTTTTTGGACCATTGTGTTTTCATTTTCATTGGTCTCCAAGTATTTTTAAACTTCTTCTTTGATTTCTTCTCTTAAAATTTTAAATCTTTGATTACATGTGTACATTGGAAAACATTATGTAATGGCAAGAGCATGAGGTCTGGAATCAAATTATGCAGTTTTAATCCTTCCTCATAATTTACTACCTATATGACACTGGGTAAACTAGTTACACTTCTGAAGCCTCACTGTTGTCATTTATAAAATCAGGATGGTGATAAAAGCAGCTTCATAGGGTTGTTATGAGAATTAAATGAGATCATACTGCAGAAATCTTAGTATGATACCTAACAGAGTAATCCTTCAAATGATTTAGTTATAAGAGACATTGAGACTTTTTATTCAGAAATAGTAACAATATCATGGGTATTCTCCATGACCAAAGATAGGGAGAGATTGTAATAGTGCCAACTGAGTAACTACAAATTGCCAAGTTCTTTGCCAGGCAGTTTATGGACATCATCTCATTTCCTTGTAGCAGGTTTGTGAGGTAAGAATCATTATTTCCACTTGGAGAAACTGAAGTTTAGTAAAGTTAAGTGACTGAAAACCACATACCTAATAATTCATAGAGTCAAGTTTGTCTAATTTCAAAGTCCTATAATTTTTCCTTGCCTAAACAATGTTTCCCTCCTGGAAGAGGAAATAAAATATATTTTAAGCCACATCCCATTTAGGTTGGCTCCCAAATATTTAATTGACACATAAGTGAGTGTTTTCATCAACTGTCAGTGTTCACATATGGTGCCCATGTCCCACTCAGTCTCTTCTCCCGAGAATGGCTGGTTGTGGAACCTAGAGCTACTGCTGGTACCATGAACTGACTGTCAGACAGGAAATTTGCATCAGCTCTCAATGTGGATAAGAGACTCCTGGTACTTTACAGAATGAGATCTTAGGTTTTAGACAGTCTGGGAGTAAGAGTCAGGACTGTGAAAAGTCTAATGATTCCCCTCCTAATGTCCATGGTTCACATCTCTTTGATAGATACCAGGCTATGAATTTGTGGCTAAACATTTCCACTGCCGTCTAAGCTTTATGCCCATCCTGGATCAGTATTATGGGTAATTTCTCTCCTGATTCTGGCACTCTGGATTTTCTACTACCACTAATTGATCTCTATAAAGAGGGAAAAAAGGGATGCCCAGGCCTTGACAGTGAGTGTTCACGCCACTACCCTTTGCTGCCCTCTACTGACCATATCTGGAAATTACATTTAACCTTCTAGGTCCTTGTCCCAAAGCAGAAATACTGCATTGAGTGAAACCAGGCACACAAAATTTGAGATGCACCAAACAACTAAGGAAGATATATTTTAATGTAATATTTTTAAAAGTCAATTTTCAAAAAATACATGATGAACAAAATACCGAAATGTACCCTAAAACAGTACTACTAGCTTATATGTACAAAGACCCTGCCATCCATCTTTTCATTCAAGAAAGAGGTTTAATACCACAGTGGAAAATCATGCTACCAGTGCTGATGAACCTTTTTCATCACTTGCATATATGGGAAAAAGACCCAGGAAATTTAGAATAAACTGAAAAAAAAGCGGGGGGAGAGAAGGTGCAAGTGGAACAGATATTGTAACAGTAGACTCCTGAGGAAAACAAGTAAGAGAATGGAAAAAAAAAATTAAGAAAACAAAACCAACTAACATCTTCAGAGTCAAGAAGCCAAAAAAGAGGTGGCTATGAAATAAGAACAAAGGCAGATAAAGATTTCTTGTATATTAAAGGTATCATCGACCAAATTGAATTTAAAAGAAAGTCTTGAAGATTGGTTCAAGGAATCCCATTTGACCTTGACACTTGGAACATTCATCTTTCAGTTTTAATGACCTACGGTTACCCTTTTTTTTTTCTCAACAAATAGAGCTATTTAGTCCTTCAGTAAGGAGTAATTTAATCATTGGAATAACGGAAATGCTATTTTAATTTGTAGAATCAACATACAAACAAAGCTTGGAAGACAACAACTGTAAAAGAGAATCTAATATTAACACTGATAATATGAAAAAATGGAAGTCTGAATATTAAAGCAGCAGAGAGATATGGAGGATAATGTCACAGATTTTTCTCACCTATTTATTTATATAGCAAGAAATCAATTATATACTGTCTAAAATTGATGTAACAAAATAGAGTTTAAGTATACTCTTTAAAATGATAATCATCAGAAATATCAAAGCAATGTAACTGGAAAAACATAGACATGGATGGATCAAAGAAATAAGTTTCTCATCTTCTAATAGATGCTACCTAAAGTTGATAAACAAGATAAAAGAAGTGCAAGTATTAACATATATTTCAGAGGTATTGTGATAACCACCAGGAGAACAGAAAATACTTAAAAATAGGGAGCTGGAAATGAGTCGGGGAACAAGTTCAAGCTGAGAATTTACTTTTCACTTGGTATCACTCTGTACTGCTTGATTTTTAAAACATGTGTATGTATTAATTTTAAGTATAAAAGTTAAAAGAAAAAAAAACAACTCAACTTTTTGCAGCTGCAGCTCTTGGCACCACTTCCTTCCCAGCTGCAATCTCTCTCCTTACACCAGTGGTCCAATCCTACAGAGATAGAAGGAGTAAAAGAGACTAGAAAAGTTTCTGTCCTGAAATTTAAGTTTTTTGGAATCTTTTTGGTTTGTGCTTAGGTTCTATCTTTTCAATGGTGCAACTCTTTGGAATACTAACTTTTGACTACTTTAATCTGTGATATCTAGAATCTCCTGAAAGTTTTGCTAAACTTTGTTATCCTTCTTTTACTTCTTGACAAAAGACTAATCCTGACTCATTGCCTCTTACTGTGATCACAGTATTTTATTTTCTTAGAATCTTGATTCTGGCGAACTACTGCTTTGCCTGGCCCAACTCAACCTGCCTAGGTAGGAATGAAATGTCTATGGAAGAGATGACAATTATCATTTTCAGAATAAATAAAATGTCATATATTAGTAAGTTAAACATAGTAATAAGGGAGTAGGGTGATGTTCATTATCCCATTCCTCATGCGTTTACAGAGGAGAGTATACTTCACTGTTCTGGAGAGAACAGACTTGGAAGAATTTGGGAGTAGAAGTTTTCTCTAGACTTGTGGTCTCACAATCTTGCACCAAAGTAGCCAAAACATGAGACACAAGACACAAGCAAATGAAGAAACCAGAATATCTATCTACATTTTTGAAGAAGGCAATAATGTCTCAAATGTCACTCTCTGAGAGAAAGTAGGTAATATATATGGAAGACCCCTGCACACATCACCAAAACAAAACAATAACAACAGCAAAAGCAAAGGAATACCTATATTAAACATGTGGAAGCACAACTATTGATGGGAACTTTCTGCTCAGTCATACAGATTCACAGGCCGTGGATTCAGTGCTGGTGCAGCTGGCTGGCTTGCCACCAGACTGAGACCAGGTCCTCGCTGTCTCCAGCATAGGTGCTACTAAGTTATCTGCTATGCTCTTTGGCCGATAGCAGTGTCAGATGACATTACATATTCACTTAATTGGAGTACCACAGTTTTGTTTGTGACAACTTCTATAGTGGAGATGCAGTTTCTTTTGTGACTGCTGACCCCTTGGAGACTAGAACTAGAGATTTGAACCAACTTTGAAGAGGCTGAAGAAGCTATACTCATTCCTGTGAAATCCCAGGACACAGCTGCAGCTGTAGGAACCTTGGCCCTGAGTAAAAGCCTCTGGCTGACACTGAGCCAATTGTATAAAATGGAGAGTGAGAGCATTTGGACTTTAATTTCTATGAGCTTTTATTTGCAAGGGGATTTAGTTTGTGGGGAAGTTGAGTAATAAAAATGAGTTTCATATTGTTCAAATTTGGGAAATTTTAATATTGATACAGTTCTCTGTGTTCATTTCATAAAGTCTGGTGAGCTATTTTGTTTTTTTAATTAATTTTTTATTGGTGTTCAATTTACCAACGTACAGAATAACACCCAGTGCTCATACCGTCAAGTGCCCCCCTCAGTGCCTGTCACCCATTCACCCCCACCCCCCGCCCTCCTCCCCCTCTACCACCCCTAGTTCGTTTCCCAGAGTTAGGAGTCTTCATGTTCTGTGTCCCTTTCTGCTATTTCCCACACATTTCTTCTCCCTTCCCTTATATTCCCTTTCACTATTATTTATATTCCCCAAATGAATGAGAACATACACTGTTTGTCCTTCTCCAATTGACTTATTTCACTCAGCATAATACCCTCGAGTTCCATCCACCTCGAAGCAAATGGTGGGTATTTGTCGTTTCTAATGGCTGAGGAATATTCCATTGTGTACATAAACCACATCTTCTTTATCCATTCATCTTTTGATGGACACCAGGGCTCCTTCCACAGTTTGGCTATTGTGGACATTGCTGCTAGAAACATCGGGGTGCAGGTGTCCCGGCGTTTCATTGCATCTGTATCTTTGGGGTAAATCCCCAGCAGTGCAATTGCTGGGTCATAGGGCAGGTCTATTTTTAACTCTTTGAGGAACCTCTGCACAGTTTTCCAGAGTGGCTGCACCAGTTCACATTCCCTCTGGTGAGCTATTTTGGACGACATGACTGGGCATAATTAGTGATAAGAAATAGAATCAGAGAGAGAATTTTCAGCTTAGTACTTTCTGACTCATGGTGCTAGTCTTTTGTGGGCAAAAAGCAAAATGCCCTTCAAGCAGTTCCAGAAGGACTCTGTGTAGGGAGAAGCAGACTTGGGGCCTGTGTGAACACAGCAGCACTGTGAGCATGCACCACTCGGCTGAGAGGGACAGCTGCCCTGGTCCCCTTCTGATGCCTGAGTACAAAGGGTTATGACATTGTTTCTCAGCCTTCCATCATGTGTGAACTGCCTTCGTGACTTTTCTACAAAAAGTGACATGCTTTTAAGTATTCAGCGTGGACTTTACAATCTTTGCTCAGGGTAATATGTGTTAAAACATGCTAGGAAAAAAAAAAACAGGTATCTTTCTGACTACAGATGAAAATACATACATAGGGATCCCTGGGTGGTGCAGCGGTTTGGCGCCTGCCTTTGGCCCAGGGCACGATCCTGGAGACCCGGGATCGAATCCCATGTCGGGCTCCCGGTGCATGGAGCCTGCTTCTCCCTCTGCCTATGTCTCTGCCTCTCTCTCTCTCTCTGTGTGACTATCATAAATAAATTAAAAAAAAAAAAAAAAGAAAATACATACATAATTACTAAAACTGAAAAAACAAAAGCCTCTGAGTATGCTACTTAAAACAACTCACATGATGCCAGCGGAATCCACAATGTAATATATTTAAAAAATTAAAAAGCTGGCAAATATTAGGAGGGATGCGTGTTATTCCCCTCTTCAGGATTCTACTCCAATCCTGATGACAGAACATGGTTTTGGAGAAGAGATTTGGGTTCGCTGTCTTCACTTTCTCACACCATCCCAAGCAACGTAGAACAGACCTTTTTTTTAAAATTTTTTAAATTTTTATTTACTTATAATAGTCACAGAGAGAGAGAGAGGCAGAGACACAGGCAGAGGGAAAAGCAGGCTCCATGCACCAGGAGCCCGATGTGGGATTCGATCCCGGGTCTCCAGGATCGCGCCCTAGGCCAAATGCAGGCGCCAAACCACTGTGCCACCCAGGGATCCCAGAACAGACCTTTTTAAGACCTATAGAAGCTGTGTAAAGCTTTTGTACTTAAAGAGCTTCTTGGTCCCCTATTGGAATGGGCTTGAGTGAGGACAACTGCAGTTGTCTGGCCATCCCATGGCTTGTTTATGGAGGTGCAGCAAGCCCTATTTTTGCTAAAGGTCTAAGCTTCTATCCAGCTTTACTAGGGAACCCTATAATTTGGATGATAACATACATCTCAATCGCCTTCTTTCTCCCCTCTTTCCCAAACTGGTTCCAACCCATAAAGAAGCCCAAATTCCAACACAGCATGTAGTTACAAAAACAAGTGAAAGAATGAGAGAAGAAAATGTTGATGGAAGAAAATGCATGCTGCTATTATACAGCAAAATACTATGTATATATAAACATTTAATGATAGCTTATTTTGAAAAAGTGTTTTTTAAAAAATTAATGCAACTCAATACTCAAATAGTGTTGAGTTCTCCTTCCCCAACTTGCTGGTAGAGTCATGTAATATTCCAGTCTTTCTGGCTGAGTCCCTGCAACTGGAGCAGGGCACCTTCCCCTGTTGCCTAGATTCTGAAAACCAGTGAGAAAGAATATTGGTTTTGGGGTCGGGCCTGGTGCTAGACCCTGCATGTCTGAAGTTCAGCAAATTACCTGGCCTTCCTGAGTCTCAGGTTTTATACATGTAAAATGGGAACAATACCCCCCTCTAGGGTTGTTGTGAGGATTAAGTAATAATGCTTGTGAGTGAGTGACCCTGCCATTCAGAAAGAAATTCAGATCCATGTCTAGGTATCCACTGGGTATGTCCATAACTAGATAGTTTTTGAAGAGGTTTGAGATCTTTCCCTTGCATGGAAGTGGAGCAGGAGTGGTCGTGCTTATACTCAGAGGCTTTTTATAGCACAGATAAAATGCCAAAACAATAAAGATTTTGATCTCATGTGTTCCTTTGTGCAAACAAGCTTGCATAGCAAAATGGTGTAAACACAGATGAAAATGGACTTCATACAAATAAATGAAATTATGTTTCTCTAGTGTAAAAATAGACCAAATGTGATCCCTGGGTGGCGCAGCGGTTTAGTGCCTGCCTTTGGCCCAGGGCGCGATCCTGGAGACCCGGGATCGAATCCCACATCGGGCTCCCGGTGCATGGAGCCTGCTTCTCCCTCTGCCTGTGTCTCTGCCCCCCTCTCTCTCTCTGTGTGTGTATGACTACCATAAATAAATTTAAAAAAAAATTAAAAAAAAATAGACCAAATGGTAAGAGCACAAAAATAGGTGAAATGGTAACATAAACTGACTTGTGTAATCAGAGGGTAAATTCTTGATATTTTCCTCTCTAAGCTTTTTCTAATAGTTTTGTTGCTAAGGCTACAATGTTTTTGCCAGATTGGAAGAGGATTGTCAATTCTAATGAAGATTAACTAGCTTTCCCAACTAGATTTTTAAAAAAAAAATAAGCATCAGTTAATGCTGCTGGCTTTCAAAGCCATAATCACGAAGAATGGAAAGATCTTTAAAGATCTGCTCTTAGAGACTCCTAACTCTGGGAAACGAACAAGGGGTAGTGGAAGGGGAGGGGGCGGGGGATGGGGTGACTGGGTGACGTGCACTGGGGGGGGCACTTGACGGGATGAGCACTGGGTGTTATGCTCTACGTTGGCAAATTGAACTCCAATACAAAATAAATTTAAAAAATAAAAAATACAGATCTGCTCTAAGAAGATGTAACTAATAAAATTTGAAATTTAGCAGCATTTCTATTCCATAGTTATTCCAACACAGAAGTTTTTATCATGGTTACACTGAACAAAAATAACTTAAAACAGAACTTTACATATTTAATAAAAAAAGATATTGGGATCCCTGGGTGGCGCAGCAGTTTGGCGCCTCCCTTTGGCCCAGGGCACGATCCTGGAGACCCGGGATCGAATCCCACGTCAGGCTCCCGGTGCATGGAGCCTGCTTCTCCCTCTGCCTGTGTCTCTGCCTCTCTCTCTCTCTCTCTCTGACTATCGTAAATTTAAAAATAAAATAAAATAAATAAGATATTATTATTTACAACTTTAGCAAAAAATTAATTCCCTAAAGAGTAACAGGTTATTTAATGAACAATTCTTTTGACTGGTTGGGAAAGTGTTTCACCACTGCTCACAAATTCATATTTTATTTATTCCTTGAACAATATAGATAAGTTACAGGATTAAGTCCTCTGTCTTTTGGTTCCTGCCATTAATTGGTTAAAGTCATCTGAAGACAGTGTAAATATAATGCTCCCAAAGAAACCTGGAAATGGAAATGGAAAGTAAATAGAAAGTAATTTGTTATGGACATTCAATTGCTAAAAGGATGTAAAAGGGTAGGAGCCATTAGGAAAGATGAAGAAACACTTCTTTTGATGTGCTTGCTGAGGAGCCAAATGAGCTTCTTGATCATGGACAGAAGAGACCATCTAAAGTTTAAAAAATGTAGAGCTGTTTGTGAGTCCATTGATCCTGCAATTCTACTTGTGCACTAAAGCAGGAAAATTAAATATTACCTAGCCAATATAGGTGCTGTGTTTTCTTCCTCTGATGTCTTTTTATTTTTGTAGCCAGAAATCCCAATGTTAATTTCCAATAGGAAAAGCTGAATATTAAAGTTAAAAGTTCACCTTAATTTGAATATTGTAGCATTAGTGACATCTGGTGGAAAACGAGTTACAGTGTAGCATTATTTAGGTATTCTGATCTTTCCTGTATAATATCATTTTCATCAGATTTTCACACAGCCCTCTCCTCAAGTCCATGGGAAGAGTGTACTTTCTGGCTCCACTGAAGTTTGGCTTAGCCTTAAGACTTACCTGCATCAGTGGAATATGGGCAAAAATGTCAGTGTGAAAGTTCTGAATATAAGCTTTAAGAGTCCTGGTGAGGCATTGCCCCTTCAACGATAGAACGAGACATGTGCCCTGCAGACTTGCATGAGAAGAAGACAAGCACTCCAGGTAACCCACAGACTTCCAGGGGAAAAAAAAATTGTTATTCTATGGTTGCTGCAAAAGCCAATTAATACATGAGACTATTACACACCTCTGTGTGAATTCCCATGGAGGCTTGACTCCTCTCTTCAATTGATGACACTGGGAGAAGAATCCTGGAGACATGTGGTTCAGTCCCTTCTGGGGCTCTATTTCAGACCCTGATAGGCCCAGCTGGAACATGTTTCCATTCCTCTACCTATGGTAAGCAAAGCTGAGTCAAGAGTCCAGGGCAGGCCCATCAGACTCTCTTAGAATCTTGGTTTCTCTGTTTAACATGGTGTGGAAGTCATGTAGGGCTTTTTTTTTCTTCCAAATTTTTATTTAAATCTTAGTTAACATATAGTGTAATATTGGTTTCAGGAGTAGAATTTAGTGATTCATCATTACATATAATACTAACTGTTCATAGGTCATTCGCAATTCTTGCATCTGTTGGTTTAAATATCTTCCTCTTAAGGTGGACTTCAAGGTATAGGAAAAGAGGGCAGGACAAGTTTAGTTGGGGCCATAGGCCAAAGCTTTTCCAATTGAGCTTTGCCAATAAAGCTCATAGCTTGGCTCCAACTCAACTCCAATATATGTACTAGTAGGAATCACTAGTGTAATAAGCCACAAATTATAAGTGGTAATATTAGGATCGTTTAATTTGGCAAATAAAAACAACTGACAGAAATTTAAGTATTATCAGTGATCTATTAAAGTTGCTACTGGTGAACGTTTTTCAGGGAACGACCACATTATTTCTGGTTATTTAGCAGAGGCATTTAGTGTTTCCTAAAGCAGTTACTGCTTTCTAAAAAGAATTTCAAACTTTTGTCCCAAAAGTAGGACCAGAATTTTTAACTCTTCATATTTTTATTGAACTTCCAGTTCTGCTGTCCTTCTCAACCTAATGTTTCATGTTTAGAGGTTACAAACAGCCCAGGATTTATTTTTTTGATGTTTTTTGAAGAATTTATTTTAAATTCAATTAATTAACATATAGTGTATTACTAGTTTCAGAGGTAGAATTTAAGAGGTGTTGGATATAACACCCAGTGCTCATGACATCACCTGTCCTCCTTCATGCCCATCCCCCAGCTACCCTATTTCCCCAACCTCCTCCCATCCTGTGACCCTATTTGTTTCCTATGATTGAGTCCCTTTTTTCCTCCCTCTCTGTTTTCATCTTCTTTAGTTTTCCTTCCCTTCCCAGATGTCCATCTGTTTTGCTTCTTTAATTCCACATAGGAGTGAAACCATATGGTAATTTTCTTTCCTGACTGACTTATTTCAATTAACATGATACCCTCTAGTTCTATCCCAGTCTTTGCAAATGGCAAGATCTATCTATCTATCTACCTATCTGTAGATCTCACATATTTTTTTTTTCTCATACACATATTCTTTATTCATTCATCTGTCCAAGGACATCATGGCTCCTCCCACAGTTTAACAGCCCAGAATTTAAATGTTTTAATCTTGCTAGTGTCCACTTTGTAACATACCTCATGTTTGGAAAACCAGACTTGACCATACCTTAATTCAACATCTTTTTCATTTCTGCAGAACTACTTTTCTTATTCAGGAAAAAGACATGTGGGTGGACCTCAATTAGATAGCTTCAACGATTCTCAAGGCAATGGGCTTTCACAATAGCATTCACTATACCTGTCATCAAATACTGGCACTTATTTGTCTTGCAATGAGAGAATTGCCCTTTATTCTTAACAAGCAGGCAACTGGATCAGAGAGATTAGATTACTCAGGTGAAAAAACAAAGACAAATACATAATGAGATAAACCTGTGTAGTAACTGCCTGGAAGCTTGCCATCTATTTTCCTATCCATATCTCAAGCTTCAGAAAGACCAGGACTTTGTTTCATTCATCCTAATACTTGGCATTTTTACAGGTGCTCACTTTGTAATTTCTGAATGAGTGATACAGGCTATGTGTTTTTACTTTATAGTGAAGGTTAATGAGTTAATTCATATAAAAAGCTTAGAACAGTGTCTGATACTAAGCACTCAATTACAAAACAAGGTAACATTTAGAATAGAGATTAGAAAAGTCTTTAGAAGTTTGCCTTAAACTGATCCTTAAAAAATAAGGAAAACTAGGCTGGCAATAAGGCTAAGAGCATAGAAAAGTTCTCCAGTCCACTACATGCTAAAATGAATTAATTCCAAATGACATGTATTATTTTATACAGAGAATGATGCTTATTTTAGGTCTAAGGTTATAAGATTAAAGGGATATAATCAAAGCTTGTCCATTAAATTGAAAGTACCTCCAGATTTATTCAAGTTTGTATCTTTAGGCCTTGGTAGGCACAAGATATTATTTGCTATACTGAATCCATTCTATTGTATGTGTTAATACCACACCAATATAAACATATTTTAAGACAAATTTTAAACATACATATTTAACTTTATTTCACCATCATTTAAAGCTTGATTTTATAAAACATAAAAAAAAATTTAAGAGTTCTGTATCACAGGAATTTAAACAGTGGCAATATACATAGCTTTGTAGGTTCGAGTTCTACAACAAATTAAAATCAAATAATTGGAAATGTTTTCAATATGGAAAATATACAAATGAAATAAATGGCAGAGACCTATTATGAGCAATGTTTCATTACTTGCAGATTATCATTAGATAATTTCAGAATCTAAACAAAGACTCTCAATATTCAGACTTCTTTTGCTGTATTTTACATTCAATATCTCCCTGCCTATATTCCAGAGTCAAAGTACTTAACCAAAAGGTCTGATTTAAGAAGGCATTTAGCTTTATGGCAAAAGTTATCCATCTACAGTTACCACTTTCAAGGAATTGACAACAATGCTGATGTGATCTGCTAGTTCCCTTTTGAACAACGTGCAATAATTTATGCCAACCCTGTATAAAGTCATACAGGTAACAAAAAAATGGAACAATTATGCACAGTTCAATAGATGTATAATGTTAAGTTTTCCCAGTCTAAAAATTAACCAGTGAAACAAAATTTATCAACTATAGTTGACTTGGTTTCAGGAAAACTGCATCTGAGAACTACAAGTACATCACTGTCCTTATCTCATCCTCAGTCATTGGTGGGAATTTTATAGGCCACCATGCTATTTACTTTGTGGACAGTAGTAGTAAATGAACGAAGACGGACTTCCTCAGAATTGGTAATAAACTGTGGTCCCGACTCTTCCCATTTTTCAGGTACAACCAAATCTTTGTCTGTATAAATCAGTAGGTCAAATGAACCTGAATTGGGGATAAGATCATTAAAGTACAATTATTTTTTGAAAGGTACAACTATCCTTCCTGTCTCCCTCACATATGAGCCACCTATCATGTCAGAAAAGCTAGTTTAGCTTGATCTCTAATCAGTTATATTAGCTAATTGCTTTTCTTCAATGGAAATTTTAGTACAGAAAATACTGTACTCCTTTTTACTTAATGAAAAACTAAAAAAAAAAAAATCTTTTTTTTTCTTCAAAGAGAAAAGCGATTAAAGATATTTGCAGAAAGTATATAATTAATCACGAGACAGCATGAATCTAAGCCAGAGAAAGAGAACATCTTGGTTCTGTGACCATTGTATCCCAATGCCCAATACCGTGTCAGGCATACAGTAGGTATTTAGGGTATATCTGATGAATGAAGGAGTAACTAAGCTAGAAAAGAAAGACACAGTTATACCTGTAAGTCTTAATTATATACAAGGAAATATGTAGAAAATAAAATGGAAGAAATTACATCAAAATATTCAGGAGTACTGTAGAAAACTTTCATTCTTTCCCTTTTCAGCACTTGTAAATAAAATGCAACCAGCATTACTTTAGATTCATGACGTTTTTCTCACTTGTATACCATGACATGGATAATTAAGAAAAAATTCAACAAAACTGTTCTTAAAGTAATAGCTTAGTCTTTCCACAACAAATCTGAACCAACGTGAAGTCATTTAATACTTACAAGAGACTTCCAACAGTGGCAGAAACGTCACGGTAGCTGTGATCTGTCGGATTACGGAGCGGATCTCATCCTGGATAGCCTTCTGAGACTTTTCTCTGGGTGTGCTACCGAGGAAACCAAATGAGTTGATACATTTTAAGTTTTAACAAATTATTTAAAACACTGGTAAGATTGTTTGATTAAATGCTTCAAAACTCAAATTAAGTAATGCATTCAAAAGGAGTTTTTAAAAAAACGATTATAATTTCATTTATTATTCCAGTATTTAAGGCTGATCTTAGTATCAGGTCATTAAATAACAGATGACTAGAAAACCTGCCAAGTGCTTCAAGTCAGGAAACATTCAGCATATTGTAAAACAAAGATAACAAGTAGTACCTAAGATCTTTAATTGGCATAATCATTTTGGTATTTTTAGTAATACCTAAATGTCTAATTCTGTAGTGCTTCAAATAAGATGTTATATCAAGTTATTTTTATAATTAAACACTTTCTAAAATAGACCAAAGGCTTCAGGAACTACATTTCATTATGAGAGTTCTGAGTTTACAGGTAAGCATGCCTAGGACAATGCTAAGAATTAGCATATAATGAGGGGCATTTCCCAACCAGAGGACCTAAGAACTTCAGTTAAGAGTGTCTTAGGAAGTTCATAGCATTAAATGAAATACAGTAGAGCTGCAAAATAAGCTAGTAGAAAGTCTAGGATAATACTTCATGGTTAAAAGTACCTTGACACAATTCATTAAATGGCCCACCTAATACATCATGTGTAGCTTACATATAGCACCATAAATACTAAAGGTTGAAATTTATGGATTTTAGACTAAGGGCAATTATGTTAAAAGTACACTATACAAGTCCATAATAGGCACAACTCTTTTGTGACCACAGTTTGTGAGTCTAATTCTCCACGGGAGATGAAAGATCGAATCTAACATAGTTAGAAACAAACTACCTTATACGAAACTATTTCAATATAGTTAGAACTCATTTACTCAAGAAAACAAGTTTTGGGGAAAAAAAAAATCTATGAAAGTGGAAGCAATTTAATTCATACTTACTTGTCATCTTTTGCAGTCTTGTCGCACTCAATATCAAACTGCCACCTTTCAAGGACTTCACCGCTTTCAATATTTGAGATGACTACCACCAGTTTCTGAACTGAACACTTGTATAACCAATCTGCAATGCATAACAAGGCATCTTTTTTGGTTCACTGCATTACAAAGTAACTCTCTTCCCAGGTCTCACTTTCTACCCTTAGCAAATTCCTACCACTGGTATTTTGGAACTCCTCCAACCTGTACAGAAAACTTGCCTCATAATAACCTAGCCCCTGTTTTCCAATTCTTAGTATCTGTACCAGATGTAGTTAGTACTGAATGCTAAGGACAGAGTAGTAAACATGCAGTATACTCTAATCCAAGGTAAACTGCAGAAGATGAGCATTAACCTAATCACTGCAGTAATAAATGTAAAATTTTAATTGTAATAAATGCTAAGAAGGTACAGTATGTGATCCAATGAGAGAATATAGGAAAATTTGACTCAGGGAATTCTCACTTGACTTCACTTCTAAATAAATACCATTAAATATGCAAAAGGATACAGAAAATGGTTCAGGTCTTAAATACTGAAAAGCGCAAAGTATCTGACCAGAGGATTGAAAGGGTAATACAAATACAGTTAAGAAAGAATGGGGATCCCTGGGTGGCGCAGCGGTTTGGCGCCTGCCTTTGGCCCAGGGCGCAATCCTGGAGACCCAGGATCGAATCCCACGTCGGGCTCCCGGTGCATGAGCCTGCTTCTCCCTCTGCCTGTGTCTCTGCCTCTCTCTCTCTCTCTCTGTGACTATCATAAATAAATAAAAATTTTAAAAAAAATTAAAAAAAAAAAAGGGAGAATGAACAAGGTCGGTTTGTGCAAGATACATAGGGGTCAGACCACACAAGGCCACATGGACTAAATTTAAGAATTTATACTTCAAGAACCAGGGAAGTCATTACTTTGTATAGGGTGTGATGTGATTAAACTTATATTTCAGACTATGCTTTTGCCTGTGATGTGTGGAAAGTAGAGTGGAAGTAAAGAGAGGATCTAGGGATGCTAAATGATTACCTCAAGCAAGAGGTACTGAAGGCTTATAGAAGGATAAATTGGTAGAGATAGAGAAGCATAGGTAGAGTCCAGAGATTTTGTGGTTAAAATTGTTAAGATTTATTGGATACTAATGAAACTAAGGAAGAGGAAATACTCAGGGATAGTTCCCAACTTTCTGGTTTATACCACTGGTTGGAAGGTTGATCCAACCTCTCGTTCACTGAGAGAAAGAGAATGGAAATGAGACATGATGCTTAGTTTTTTTTTTTTAAGGTTTTCTTTTTCTTCATTTTTTTAAAAGATTTTATGTATTTATTCACGAGACACAGAGAGAGAGACAGAGAGAGGGAGGGAGGCAGAGACACAGGCAGAGGGAGAAGCAGGCTCCATGCAGGGAGCCTGATGTGGGACTCAATCCCGGGTCTCCGGGATCATGCCCTGGGCTGAAGGCAGCGCTAAACCGCTGAGCCACCCGGGCTGCCCTAAGGTTTTATTTCTAAAGTAATATCCACACCCAATGTGGAGCAGGAACTAACAACCCAAGATCAAGAGTTGCATGCTCTACTGACTGAGCCAGCCAGGACCCCCTTAAATTTAGTTTTCAAGTATCACTAGGATAGCCACATGTGGATATCAAGGGAGCCACTTACTATATGAGCAAAGAGAAGACTTGGGTTGGATGTATGTTTGTGAGTCAACTACACAAAGATTGTTAGTGAAGTTATGTATGTGTCAGAAATCATCTTAGAGATCATAATAAGAGGGCCTCATAATGAGCCCAGAATTAATCTTGGAACTTGGCATAATATACTCAAGAATACACAGTTGTTGTTTTTTTTTCAAGAGACAAAAACAATCTTGTAATATTTAGGGCTTGTGGGCCACCTAGGTCTCTTGCGTAGTCTTTTAAAAACTAGCTTTTAAAAATCTGAAAACATTCTGAGTTTGCAGGTAGTACAAAAATAGGCCACTTGCTGGATATGGGCGGTCAGTCTTGCTGACCCCTTGACAAAAATCAACTTTTTCTCAATTTTGCTCTGAAAAGGAAGAGATTGGGTAGTCACTTAAAGATCTGGGGTGGGTGGAAATTTTTTTCTTTTAAAACTGAAGACAGATGACACCAATGAAAATATCTCAAAACAAAGAAGTCAAAAATACCAGAGAAGAACTAGGGTAAAGTCCTTAGGAAGGCTAGAGTGATGGGGATTCAGAGATCGAACAATTTGCCTCTAAGAAGAGCAATTCCTCCATTCTAACTAAAATAAAAGGGACAAATTAAATCGGAAGGTCTACATACAACTGAGGTGAAATGTCATCAGTGTAGTCTTAAAGGAGACAACCTAAAATCAGTAGCTTAGGCAGGGCTTGCTTCTTCATCAAATTAAGGTGACATAGATTCTTAGTTACTTCTACGTTTCAGGCTAAGTAATCTGAGTATAGCCCTGGGTGATTTAGCCCTGAAGATGATAAAAATACAATTAATAGAATTTAAAAAATAAAGCCCCTTGAAACAGAAAATATATATATGACTCAGGAATTTTAAAAAAAATTACTGTAATGTTTTTTTGGAACTAGTTTTGGAAGGTCAAATGAGGAGCCAGGGAGAAACATCCTATAACACAGAAAAATTAGAAGTGAGAATCCTAAGTAGAGAAAAACATGAGGGGAAAAAAAGAATAGATGGAGAACAAGTATTCATTCAACAGGTATTCAGTAATTTCTTGAGCTAAGAAAAAACAGTGAGTGTTCAGATAGAAATGGCTAACTTACAGGCAGGATTTTAACAAAGACAAATGAAGACAGTAAGACATTAAAAAACTTTATTGGGTACTCTATTAGTAGTATTTTTTTTTTTTTAAGTTTAGTTCCCAGGCTGGATCCAATTTCATTTTATCTTAAAATAATGATGGTTTTAAACTCTAGGCAGCTATAGAAAACATTTCATGTTAAAGATATATAGTGGATTTCTCTCCAATAATAAACATCATCATAGTTATGTAAAATTCCAACTTGTTCCACCTGGCTACACGAACTGCAAAAATCACTTCAAAGGGAATTGATAGAGATTGTTTTGTGAAGCCAGATCAGATTACTAACATCAAAGTATTTAACCCACTCAAAATGTGGTAGGGAAGAGTGGACTTTCTTTCAACTTATTATTTGCTTCCTTCCAATTGAGAATCACTGTATTTGAGATTGCAGTGTTTTACACCTTTTTGTATAGCGCTGAAAAATGAACACCAAGATGCCAGAAAGTACGGGTCCAAGAAGGCCTGCAGAACTCAAAATGGTTTTCAACAATTAAATACCTTTCACGGGGATCCCTGGGTGGCGCAGCGGTTTAACGCCTGCCTTTGGCCCAGGGCGCGATCCTGGAGAACCGGGATCGAATCCCACGTCGGGCTCCCGGTGCATGGAGCCTGCTTCTCCCTCTGCCTGTGTCTCTGCCTCTCTCTGTCTCTCTCTTTCTCTCTCTCTCTCTCTGTGACTATCATAAATAAATAAAAATTTTTTTAAAAAAAAGAATTCTTTAAATACCTTTCAGTTGTTCCACTACATTATTTAGGTATTTCATGAGCTCAGGATCAGTTGTTACAAGCAAGGTGAGTCCGTATTTCTGCACTCTGGTAAAGGTTTCAGATGGATATATGCCACGCTGATATAAAATGCTGTTGATGCCAAATGCTGAAAACAAAAGGAATGTTAACGTCATTTTCACTTTGTAACTCTGGAAAATAAAACCTATTTAGATGTGGCTGCGGTTTCATTCCTGGTTTCAAACTGAAAAAGCCTAAACGTGCATTTGTGGGTGTCTTGCTGAAAGCAGAGTAGGTGAAAAGTGCCACTGAAAATCCTTAAAAATGTTGCTTCTAAGTAAAAAGAACACGATACCTGCGTTTATGCGGAAATAAAAATGCCAAACTGCACTGACCTAGTGTCAAAGTAGAACTACAAGCTCACGGTAATGCAAGCCCCAATTCAGGTTATGTGATCACAGGGTGTCGAAATAGGCTTTTGCGTCTGGATTAGCAACTGATTAACCGGCCCAATGCTCCAAAGCAAGCCTCTCCCTCACTTTTCCCTCCTCTTCTCCTACCAGATTCTATCAGAGGGTACAAACATGGCCTGGTCCAGGGCAGAGTTTCCTAGATCTAGTCCATCGCCGTCAGTACCGGGATCAAAGCTTGGTGGATGGGCTGTTCAAAATATACTGGGGCCCCACCCCGCTCGGGGTGGGCGTAGGGGCCGGGCTGGGGCGCGTGTCGGATCCGCAGTGTAAAGCAAGGCTGCTGGTGGAGGGGCCGCAGCGCCAGGCAGGCCTCCGCAGCACCTGGGCTTCCCGCTCCACCAGGAGCGAGGCGCCCGGCGGTGGCGCCTGCATCCGCCTCTTCCTCGATTAGATTCTCCGGCCCGGCGGGGGCTGGAGCAGAGAGAGCCGGCCCCCGCCCCCGCCCCCCACCCCCGCCCCCACCCCCACCCCGACCCCGCCTCCGCCTCCGCCTCCGTGGCCGGGCCGCGGGCCTCCAGGGCGGCCTGGCCTCAGTTCTCCCCGCCCTCTGGCCTGCGCAACGGGGACTTACAGAAGAACTCGGCCACGATTTCGGCGCTCCCGCGCAGGGTGATGCCTTGCTCCCGGGAGAGCTGCAGCGCCATGGCCAGGCCTAGGGACGAGGGAGCGCGCCGCTACCCGGCAGACGGCGACGCCACAGCCTCCAACGGAAGCTCCCCGCCACTCGTTTCAAAAGTAAGGACGCAGCACGCCAGGAGCCCTCCGCGCAGGCGCGACGAGCCTCCCGGCAGGCCCAGCGCCAGTCTCCTCGCTCGCCGGACAGGGGCGCCTCGCGCAGGCGCAGTGGGCAGGCGTGGGCAGGCACTTCCGGGTTGTCGGGGCCTGGAAGGGTCCCGCCGGGGCACCTGTAATTGTGGTCCCGGGACGCAGCTGAGGCGAGAGGACCGCAAAACCTGGCTTTGCCGCCTGCTCCCCAGGCCTGCGGAGTGAGCGGCGCAGGATCCCAGTTCGTCAGTTTCAAAGCTATTTTCAAAGTGATGTGAACGCGCCAGTCGCCTCTTAACGTGGCCCCAGGGACCCCGCCCACCCCCTAGTGGGCGATTGAAACTTTTGCTCAGATACTTTGGGAGTCAGTCAAGAAACCGCGTGCGTGGCGGTCGAGCCACAGCTTGAGAAGGCCTGGTGACTGTATGGGGCGCAGCTTTTAAGAAACTGGGGGGCAGCCCGGGGGGCTCAGCGGTTTGGCGCCGCCTGCAGCCCAGGGCGTGATCCTGGAGACCCGGGACCGAGTCCCGCGTCTGGATCCCTGCGTGGAGCCTGCCTCTCCCTCTGCCTGTGTCTCTGCCTCTCTCTCTCTCTCTCTCCTCTCCGTGTATTCTCATTAATAAGTTAATAAAATCTTACAAAAAAAAATTGGGGGGCGGCCCTGGTGGCCCAGCAGTTGAGCGCTGCCTTCAGCCCGGGTGTGACCCTGGAGACCAGGGATGGAGTCCCTCCAGCCCTAATCCCTAAAGCCTAAACCCTAACCCTAACTCTAAATCCTGGACCTGGTAAATCTGGTCCCCATCTGGGCCTCACCCAGTCCTGGTGACTTTGGTCCCCACCTGGGCCTCACCTGGACCTGATTGCTGTGGACTCCTTCTTGGCCTCACCTGGAACTGGTGACTCTGATCCTATCTAGGCCTCACCCAGACCTGGTGACTCTGGTCCTCACCTGGGCATCATTGGGCCCTGGTTACTCTGTTCCACACCTTAGCCTCACCTGGACATGATGACTCTGGAACCCCTCTGGGCCTCACCCTGACCTGGTGACTCTGGTCCCCATCTGGATGTCACCTACCTGGACCAGGTGATTCTGGTACCCCTCTGGGCCTCAACAACCAGACCTGGTGACTCTGGGCCTCAACTGGGCCTCATCTGGATCTAGTGAATATGCTCCCCACCTGGGCCTCATCTGGACCTGGTGACTCTGGTCCCTACCTGGGCATCATCGGGACATGGTTACTCTATTCCCCACTGGGACTCACCTGGACCTGGTAACTCTGGTCCTCACTTTGGCCTCTTCTGTACCAGGTGACTCTGGCCCCACCTGGGCCTCACCTGGAACTGGTGACTGATCCTCAGCATGGCCTCACCTGACCTGGTGACTGTGATTCCCACCAGGACCTCACCTGGACCTCATGTTTCTGGTCCCCACCTGGGCCTCACCTGGACCTGGTGGCTCTGGTACCCACCTGGGTAGCATCAGGACATGGTTACACTGTTCCCTAACAGGGACCCACCTGGACCTGTTAACTCTTTGTTAATTGGTTTCTGTATTTAGGTACTCCCATGTTGGCAGCATAAATATTTAGTTGTTTGATCTTTTTTTTTAATAAATTTATTTTTTAATGGTGTTTAATTTACCAACATACAGAATAACACCCAGTGCTCATCCCGTCACGTGCCCCCTCAGTGCCCGTCACACATTCACCGCCACCCCCGACCCTTCCAGCACCCCTAGTTCATTTCCCAGGGTTAGGAGTCTTTAAGTTCTGTCTCCCTTTCTGATATTTCCCACACATTTCTTCTCCATTCCCTTATATTCCCTTTCACTATTATTTATATTCCCCAAATGAATGAGAACATACACTGTCCTTATCCGATTGACTTACTTCACTCAGCATAATACCCTCCAGTTCCATCCACGTTGAAGCAACTGGTGGGTATTTCTAGTTTCTAATGGCTGAGGAATATTCCATTGTATACATAAACCACATCTTTATCCATTCATCTTTCGATGGACACTGAGGCTCCTTTCACAGTTTGGCTACTGTGGACATTCCTGCTATAAACATCGGGGTGCAGGTGACCCGGCGTTTCATTGCATCTGAATCTTTGGGGTAATTCCCCAATAGTGCAATTGCTGGGTCGTATGGCAGGTCTATTTTTAACTCTTTGAGGAACCTCCACACATTTTTCCAGAGTGGCTGCACCAGTTCACATTCCCACCAACAGTGTAAGAGGGTTCCCTTTTCTCCGCATCCTCTCCAACATTTGTGGTTTCCTGCCTTGTTAATTTTCCCCATTCTCACTGGTGTGAGGTGGTATCTCATTGTGTTTTGGATTTGTATTTCCCTGATGGCAGGTGATGCAGAGCATTTTCTCATGTGCATGTTGGCCATGTCTGTGTCTTCCTCTGTGAGATTTCTGTTCATGTCTTTTGCCCATTTCATGATTGGATTGTTTGTTTCTTTGGTGTTGAGTTTAAGAAGTTCTTTATAGATCTTGGAAACTAGCCCTTTATCTGGTACATCATTTGCAAATATCTTCTCCCATTCTGTAGGTTGTCTTTGAGTTTTTTTTTTATTTTTAAATTTTTATTTATTTATGATAGTCACACACAGAGAGAGACAGAGGCAGAGACACAGGCAGAGGGAGAAGCAGGCTCCATGCACCAGGAGCCTGATGTGGGATTCGATCCCGGGTCTCCAGGATCGGGCCCTGGGCCAAAGGCAGGCGCCAAACCGCTGCGCCACCCAGGGATCCCTGTGTTTGAGTTTTGTTGACTGTATCCTTTGCTGTGCAAAAGCTTCTTATCTTGATGAAGTCCCAATAGTTCATTTTTGCTTTTGTTTCTTTTGCCCGCGTGGATGTATCTTGCAAGAAGTTACTGTGGCCGAGTTCAAAAAGGGTGTTGCCTGTGTTCTCCTCTAGGATTTTGATGGAGTCTTGTCTCACATTTAAATCTTTCATCTATTTTGAGTTTATCTTTGTGTATGGTGCAAGAGAGTGGTCTAGTTTCATTCTTCTGCATGTGGATGACCAATTTTCCCAGCACCATTTATTGAAGAAACTGTCTTTCTTCCAGTGGATCATCTTTCCTCCTTTGTCGAATATTAGTTGACCATAAAGTTCAGGGTCCACTTCCAGGTTCTCTATTCTGTTCCATTGATCTATGTGTCAGTTTTTGTCCCAGTACCACACTGTCTTGATGACCACAGCTTTGTAGTACAACCTGAAATCTGGCATTGTGATGCCCCCAGCTATGGTTTTCTTTTTAAAAATTCCCCTGGCTATTCGGGGTCTTTTCTGATTCCACAAACGTCTTAAAATAATTTGTTCTAACTCTCTGAAGAAAGTCCATGGTATTTTGATAGGGATTGCATTAAACGTGTAAATTGCCCTGGGTAACATTGACATTTTTACAATATTAATTCTTCCAATCCATGAGCATGGAAATTTTTTCAATTTCTTTCAGAAGTGTTCTATAGTTTTTAGGGTATAGGTCCTTTACCTCTTTGGTTAGGTTTATGCCTAGGTATCTTATGCTTTAGGGTGCAATTGTTAATGGGATTGATCCTTAATTTCTCTTTCTTCAGTCTCATTGTTAATGTATAGAAATGCCACAGACTTCTGGGCACTGATTTTGTATCCTGACACTCTGCCAAATTACTGTATGAGTTCTAGCAATCTTGGGGTGGAGGCTTTTGGGTATTCTATATAGAGTATCATGTCATCGGCGAAGAGGGAGAGTTTGACTTCTTCTTTGCCAATTTGAATGCCTTTAATGTCTTTTGTTGTCTGATTGCTGAGGCTAGGACTTCCAGTACTATGATGAATAGCAGTGGTGAGAGTGGACATTCCGGTCTTGTTCCTGATCTTAGGGGAAAGGCTCCAGGTGCTTCCCCATTGAGAATTATATTTGCTGTGGGCTTTTCATAGATGGCTTTTAAGATGTTGAGGAATGTTCCCTCCATCCCTACACTCTGAAGAGTTTTGATCAGGAATGGATGCTGTATTTTGTCAAATGCTTTCTCTGCATCTAATGAGAGGATCATATGGTTCTTGGTTTTTCTCTTGCTGATATGATGAATCACAATGATTGTTTTACGAGTGTTGAACCAGCCTTGTGTCCCGGGGATAAATCCTATTTGGTCATGATGAATAATTTTCTTAATGTACTGTTGGATACTATTGGCTAGTATCTTGTTGAGAATTTTTGCATCCATGTTCATCGGGGATATTGGTCTCTAGTTCTCCTTTTTGGTGGGGTCTTTGTCTGGTTTTGGAATTAAGGTGATGCTGGCCTCATAGAATGAATTTGGAAGTACTGCATCTCCTTCTATCTTTCCAAACAGCTTTAGTAGAATAGGTATGGTTTCTTCTTTAAACGTTTGATAGAATTCCCCTGGGAAGCCATCTGGCCTTGGACTTTTGTGTCTTGGGAGGTTTTTGATGACTGCTTCAATTTCCTCCCTGGTTATTGGTCTGTTCAGGTTTTCTATTTCTTCCTGTTCCAGTTTTGGTAGTTTGTGGCTTTCCAGGAATGCGTCGTTTTCTTCTAGATTGCCTAATTTATTGGCGTAGAGCTGTTCATAATATGTTTTTAAAATCATTTGTATTTCCTTGGTGTTGGTAGTCATCTCTCCTTTCTCATTCGTGATTTTATTAATTTGAGTCCTCTCTCTTCTTATTACTAAGGCTGCCCAATGGTTTATCTATCTTATTAATTCTTTCAAAAACCAACTCCTGGTTTTGTTGTTCTGTTCCACAGTTCTTCTGGTCTTGATTTCGTTGAGTTCTGCCCGAATCTTAGTTAACTCTCTTCTTCTGCTGGGTGTAGGATCTATCTGCTGTTTTTTCCCTAGCTCCTTTATGTGTAAGGTTAGCTTTTGTATTTGAGTTCTTTCCAGTTTTTGAATGGATGCTTGTATTGCGATGTATTTCCCCCTTAGGACTGCTTTTGCTGCATCCCAAAGATTTTGAACGGTTGTATCTTCATTCTCATTAGTTTCCATGAAGCTTTTTAATTCTTCCTTAATTTCCTGGTTGACCCTTTCATCTTTTAGCAGGATGGTCCTTCACCTCCACGTGTTTGAGGTCCTTCTAAACTTCTTATTGTGATTTAGTTCTAATTTCAAGGCACTGTGGTCTGAGAATATGCAAGGGAGGATCCCAATCTTTTGGTATTGGTTCAGACCCGATTTGTGTCCCAGTATGTGGTCTATTCTGGAGAAAGTTCCATGTGCACTTGAGAAGAATGTGTATTCAGTTGAGTTTGGATGTAAAGTTCTGTAGATATCTGCAAAATCCATCTGGTACTGTATCACTTAAAGCTCTCATTTCTTTGGAGATGTTGTGCTTAGAAGACCTATCGAGGGTAGAAAGAGCTGGATTGAAGTCACCAAGTATAAGTGTATTATTATCTAAGTATTTCTTCACTTTG